CGACCACTGCACACTATGCGTCCCAGCATCCGCTGACCCCGCTTGGTCATTTTACGTGGCAGACCACTTCTGGCAATATAGTGTATTTTACCAAAAAGATTTATTGTAATACTGCACTCTTAAAAAAGATCGTTCTTCAAGGGTTCTTTAGTAAAAGGAATGGTTCTATTTAGAAACTAGTTCTATATTACCATTTCATGCTTAACTGGTTCTTCAGTTTGATGGAGAATGTGTTGTACATGGTTCTAAATAGCATCAAAAAGGGTTCTTCATTTGTTACAAGCTTGATGCCATAACAGTGGCAGAACCCTTCTTGGTGATACAGAATCATTTTCAAAAAGGTTCTATATAGAACCATATACAACACATTCTCCATCAATCTGAAGAACGATTTCACCATGCAGAGAACCATTTAAGCAGAACTCATAGCTATAAATGCCTCAATAGAACCATTCTCTTTACTAAAGAACCATCTTTTTAAAGACTGTATAAGAAACCATAAGATTTCTATTGTTTTCTATACCTCCATAATAATTCATAATATTTTCACCTCATATAACATTAGCCTAGTTACAGCGTAGTTATAGATCTACAGAATCCTTTAGAAATATGTGTAGTATTACTACAGATCTTTTCATAAGTCAAGCAACAAAAATAGAAAAGAAAGAAAAAGAAAAGTAAAAAGCAAAAATGATAGGGACTGAGATAGTGAAACAGCTTAGAAAAGACTCAGAAATATGAACAAAACCTGCGCTACATCAGCTTCATAGATGTTTAAAAATTAGAAAATGTAAATGTGAAACGTTGCACAAAGGTCGATAGGAAAAACAAAAATCATTTTCTTCTTCTTTTAAATATACTGTAAAAAAACATTTAGTATCAATTTCACATGACTAAATCTAGTATGGCCACCACAGAGGTACTCCGCTGATGGGAAATGAAGTTTCTTTGCTGGAGTGGTTTACTGCTAATCCAAAACAAGTCATTTCCATGATCAAGTCCTCCACAGTGACCTTAAAGGGCCCAAACCTAAATTTATTTTGTACTTTTTCCCCCCTGAGGTCCACTTTTGACATTTGCGTTATTTTACGCACCAAAACCAGTTGTAATAAATTTTTACATCAACAAAGCTGATGTATGTAAATAACCCCTCTTCTCATTGGCTACCCTGCATTGTGCCCCATTCTTAAAGTAGTCTAAGCTGGAACACTGCTTATAACTTCAGAGTGAATGGGTGGGGCTAAACCACTGTAGACTGAATAGACAGATATATGTAAATAGGTTACTTTTTTGTGACATCACAAAAACAGTGAATGTAAAATAGTTTTTTTGGGGCAAGTTAATTTGCATATGGACTGGAGAGTGAATGGTATTTTCTAAAACTATGGTACATTTAACTAATTTAACTAATTTATTTCAAAAAAGAGAAAATTTTGATTTTACCCGATATGGGCCCTGTAAAAATGTCCAGTTATTACTTTATTGTCCAGCAGGTGGCGATAAATACCTAGTATTGACCAATACTTACTATAAGATATAAAAACTTATATTTTGGAACATACTAAAAACCTGTAACAATATATAAGTCATTTCCATAGGCGTGCCTGCTTCAGCCATTGTTGTCCCTCAATAGCACGTCTACTGCTTTTTTTAATGCTTTTTGTCATTGTCAACCTCCTAATTCTTCAGACATGACTAATCAGTCCAGCCAGACAGAACATATACAAAGAAACTACTGGCTGGAAATTCAACCTGGAGAAATCTCAGGAATGTCAGGAATGTTTTGAAAGAAACGGGATGCTGATCATCTGCTCCATGTAAACATAATTATTGATTTGTTTTTATCATAAACTATCAGTCTTCGTTCAGATACGTTTTCAAAGGATTCTGTCACTGCACAGAGTGAAAAGACCTGCAGGTGCCTGCAGTGTTACTTCAGTGACGAGCACTGCTGCTCACATATAAACCGACACGGCGTCCCACTAGAAAGTGAAGAGGCGATAATGACACCAATAGTGTCATCACAGGCTTTAAATAGAGCAGCATTCGAACTGAAAAGGGGTGAAATCTGTCAGAATGAGTGTTTGGATTATAGGCTTTCAGCCAGCGAATGAGTAAGAACACATATACAGCACTGTGCAGAGGTCAGAGACCAGCCTTCATTGATTTAATTTACACTCAGAACAGCCATTTAGTACAAGTTCTTCATTTCTCACCATCAGAAAAAAAAATTAACAGAAAATTTATACAGAAGAAGAAAAATAATGGTTTTTAAGGATTCTTTAGTCAGGAAAATGGTTTTACATAGAACCCTTAGCATGATTAAAGGATTAAAAAAAGGTTCTTCAAGGGTTCTTTAGTGAAGAGGATGGTTCTATGAGTTCTGTATAGAACCATTTGCATGCGTAAATGGTTCTTTACATCATGAAATTGTTTTCAGATTGATGGAGAATGTGCTGTAGATGGTTCTTTATAGAACCTTTTTAAAAACTGTTCTATATAGCACGAAAGGGATTCTTCTATTGTAACAAGCCTGACATTGCAACAATAGAAGAACTCTTTTTGGTGCTATATAGAACCTTATTGAACATCTACAGCACATTCCCCATCAATCTGAAGAACCATTTCATCATGCAAAGAGCCCTTTAATTATGGAAAGGGTTCTTTGAATGTTCATGGTTCTATACAGAACATTTTTCTTTGCTAAAGAAAAGAAGTATAGTGCTGAATTGTCGTCTCACAGTGGAAGGATGGATTGTGGATGTTTTCACTTGTGCTTAATGACTATTTGACTGTAAATTAATTAAATGAATGAAGGGTAAACTCTGACTTTTGCATGATACTCTAAATGACTGACTGTACATATTGTACATATAGAATTACTAGCAGAATTATATAAATCATAAATTATGGATAAATATGAAAATGATTCAGATGTATGGGACTGAAGTTAAAAGTACTGTTGAAGTGCAAAGAGAAATGAATACAAACCAAATAGAATCACTATCTGATGGGTATAAAAGTGAAATATAGAAGATATAGGCCCAAACGTTTACCATATTACTGTAGGCAGCAATATATATCATAATATTGTAATGGGCTATCAGCCTTTAGGCATTTATTTGGCTCAGGTTTTCCTAAAAACTCCATTCATCTGTTTCTTACACCATTATAAACTTTGTGTGGTTAGAATCTAAATAAATCTTCAGAAATGTGTTACATATTGATATATATACAATGAACATTGATATATATACAATGAACATTGATATATATTGAACGAACTGTGATATATATATATATATATATATATATATATATATATATACAATGAACATTGATATATATACAATGAGCTTTGATATATATGGAATGAACAATGATATATATTGAATGAACATTGATATATATGGATCGAACATTGAGATAAAAAAAAACTAATAACATAATTCATAATGTTTTCTACTTTTGGGGTATGTGTGCTGTAGCCTTGGCCCTCCCCCACCTGCTAAACAGACTGTTTACGTTGTTATTTACTGTTGTTATGTTGCTGTTCTTCAGTTACAGCTTCACTTCATATATCAGCCACTCTCAGGTCACTCTGTCCAAAGAATCACTGTGTATACATACTGGTCACTTTATCAGAATTCCCTTCCTTTAAGCTCCACCTGGAGTTTGTTAATGCCCATTTATCGATGCACAGTTTTTGTTGGCCATCCTCAACCCTTCAACAGTGACTTTCATTCAATATATATCAATATTCATTCAATATATATCAAAGTTCATTCCATATATATCAATCTTCATTCCATATATATCAAAGTTCATTCAATATATATCAAAGTTCATTCCATATATATCAATGTTCATTCCATATATATCAATATTCATTCAATATATATCAAAGTTCATTCCATATATATCAATGTTCATTCAATATATATCAAAGTTCATTCCATATATATCAATGTTCATTCCATATATATCAAAGGTTATTCCATATATATCAAAGTTCATTCAATATATATTCAATATATATCAATATTCATTCAATATATATCAAAGTTCATTCCATATATATCAGTGTTCATTCCATATATATCAATATTCATTCAATATATATCAATATTCATTCCATATATACCAATGTTCATTCCATATATACCAATGTTCATTCCATATATATCAATATTCATTCCATGTATATCAAAGTTCATTCCATATATATCAAAGTTCATTCCATATATACCAATGTTCATTCCATATATATCAATATTCATTCCATGTATATCAAAGTTCATTCAATATATATTCAATATATATCAATATTCATTCAATATATATCAAAGTTCATTGTATATATATCAATGTTCATGAAATATTTCCTGTTTGGCTTGCCATAATATATATATATATATATATATATATATATATATATATATATATATATATATATATATATGGTTTTTAATACATTCATGGTGGTGAGGTACATGAAGGGTGTGTGGGGGGTAACAGGTGGCTGATTCTAAATTCATTTGGTTTCCTTATGGGATCTAAAGGTGCACTACAGAAAACTAGTGGCCTCATTTGGAAACAATTAAGCAAATTAGAAAGCAAAGCCAGTAGCTTTTAATCCTAAAAATGCTTCGGACGTCTGGTTCCTACCACCACCACTGTGAGCAATTCTTAACCGCTTCATTTCTCCAAAACGGTGCATTTCACACCAAACACTCTGCACGACTTTGTTTGCCTCTTAAACACTTAATTACGCTGAATTTTTGAAAAGGCGTCGGAGTTCCCCTTTAAAAGCACCTCTCATCTGCCGTCTTAGTCTCTTGTGTCGCTCATAACGAACAGAAGGCCGACGATCTGCGTAAATGCAATGGTATATACTGTCTATGTATGCAATGGTGCACTAATTTGGCTCTTAAAGGTCCCCAACAGTGCCATGGTGCAGATGCCCGGTGGTCATGCGGTCCCTCCCCCTATAGCTCGGGTTTAAAGAAAGGCAGGCTCTGCCTGCTTCACTCCTTCCTCTCTTCTACCTGGATGCAGCTACTTCTCTTTCTCTTCCCTGTCGTTTAACTTTGCTCCTCTTTTCCGCCGCTGTGCACGACGGATTTACGCGTGTAAACATGGCCGGGGCGATTATCGAGAACATGAGCACCAAGAAGTTGGTGATCGTTGGAGTTATCTTGCTTTTATTCCAGGCGTTTTCGTTCATGGTCGGAGGGCTGATTGGTGAGTAGTTTGTTGGCTATTTTTGGGCTCTTTTGTTCGCTTTGCGCGCTTTTCACCTCTGCGAATAATGTTCCATGAGCTCCAGATGAAGTGTAGATGGCTTTAAACACAACACAGAGTTGGCCTACCGAGAGATCTTTCTGGAATTGAGGGAGAAAAAAAAGTTACAATGGGCTCAAGTTGGCTTCTTGTTGGAATTTTTCCGTTCCACCTTAAATGGTGCAGCAGTTACATTGTGGCGCCTGAATGTAACTACTGCACCATTTAAGGTGGAACGGAGGAATTCCAAACAGAGGCCAAACACAGCCTCGTAAAAGTTACTGCTTTTGCTAACTGGGTGATTTTTACTCACTGTACCCTTAACTCTTCACTGACACCCCCTTTGGTGCTCGTTTTAAAGTTTCTCGTCTTCTTTGCTCTGATTCATTTCTGCACTGCTTTCTTCCTGAACTCCAACCTACACATGCAAACATGGAAGTATGGAAGTTCCCTCAGCTCCACCACTAGAGCTGCTGTTTGCCAGGCTAGGACGTTAAACATGGACTAAAATACGTTGTATACATTCAGAAAGTCCTTTATTGACCTCATATTTCCCACAACTAGCCAGACTGGAGAAGCAACAACAGCAGCTTCTAGCTTGTACTGCTGAGCCTTCACCCACTAAATGGTTAACCAAATCTCAGAAACTTCAGATCTGCTCTCCTCTCAGATCTCCAGCTTGAGTTCCTACAGTACCTCGTTAGAGGACTGGGAGCTGTCAGAAACCTCTCGTGTCCTGTGGCTGTTCGGAATCTTTTGGGTGAATCCTTCACTTTTCATTTATTTCATTTTAACTTAATAAACCAGCAAATTGTGAAATAATAGTATAGTAGAAGTATTAAGAAGGGGTGAACAATATGAATATATTTTACTGTTATTGTGATAAATTGTCATGATGCACATTATGGGTACTGTTAGTGCTTAACCCTCTATTGCACAATGTTGCCTCAAGGCAACAAACCCATTTTCCTCACTTTATGATAACATTATGCAATAGGGTTAACAATAAGGGGAAGAGTTTATGTCAATAAAAAGCATGTAATTAGTCATACTGTCTATGCTTTTATACCTCTTTTCAACATTCAGTATCACTTTTTTTGTTATGAGAATTAGCAGAAATATGTTTGTTGCCTAGAAGCAACATTGTGCGACAATGGAATGGATTTGGCCAGCCACAAGCCTGGTCTCACCAGTGAAAAGTGAATTGAATATTTTTTAAATGTACTTTTAATTGCTTTCATATTGTGCGCAGAAGAGGGTTAAAGAACACCAAAGAGAGCATAATTAGGCCTGTTTAATTGGAGTGCAGTTTGCGAAACATTGAATAAAAATCGTTGTAGTAGGTTTATTATTATTATTATTATTATTATTATTATTATTACTATGACTGTTTTAAATGTGCCGTTACAGTTTCTATTTTGTCTGTTCCAACTTATAAATCTCAGAAAAACAAATCCTAATGTGTATCGTGAATATGTCTTGAAGTATCGTGATATAACATTTTTCCCATATCACCCATCCCTAATATTAAGTATTACCAGAATGCACTAATGTGTCTGTGAATTCAGTTAAAGACGAATTCTATAATTTTTGTCAGAATTGCTGCATAATTAAGATAAAGATGTTAATAAGGTAATTCAGGCTGTTTTGATGTGAAATGCTCCACTGTAGAGACACTCACCAGAGGCGTTCATAACAGACGTCTGAGTGTGAAGTGCACCCCAAAGTGACCTTGTGTAATGCGCAAAATTTAGAGGTAAAGTTTTGGCCTTAAACATATTTTTGAAATATGTATGCATGATGGAGATATGTTGTAAGACATAATAGTACCCTTTTTTTTTCTTTCAGATGTACGACTATTTCATTATTACACATAAAACTCATAATTGTAGCGTCACTGGGTGTTTTGAATGATGAATAAAATGGCTATATTTGCGATGTAGATATAGCAACCCCTGGTTCCTATCACCACCACTGTAAATAAATTTCTCTACAATGCATCATTTCACATTAAATTAGTTCTCCAGGATTGAGTTGTTCTGAAAATTCGGTGGAACCCCCCTTTAACTTTGAGGCCTGTCTACTGTCTCTTTTTGTGAAGGAAGGAAGTCGCCTTCAGTCTCCACAGAAAGTTGGATGGCGGCTGATAAATTAGCTTGTTTGCCTGAGATTGATTTAATGAAGCGGGATTTCTTTGTGTTTGGTCGGTGGCCGGTGGCAGCCAGGGTAATTGAGTAGAAAGGCTCGCCGCTTCCCCTGTTATTGGACAACTTAAACACGGCATGAGGTCACTGGGCCGAAAGCCTTCTATTATTTCGGACACTTCGGGGTGGAGATTTGGAGAGTGTTTGCTCCCAGGATTGTGGGTCAATGAATGCACGAACTCTGAGGGGTTCAGTATTGCTAATTTAGTTTGTCTTAGCAGTTTGGGACATTCACAGAGAACGTACCTGGATCAATCGAAAACTGAAAGTGCTGTCTTTGAGCAGTTTTTGGCCAGAAATCTTAACTAAAAATAAACAAAAAACTATTTTGTACTATTTTGTAACTATTTTGTTTAAAAAAAATATTAAATGGGAATTCATCTGTGCCTTTATAAATCATGTTAATTGTAAAAAAAAAAAAACAAGCAACAGTATTAGAAACACTGTTTTTGTTTGCTCTCCTGTGCTGGTCAGTACAGATACATTCAAAGACTTTGAGCAGCAGATAAACAGAAAAAATGTTGGCTATGTGGAACTATTTAATGGTTTCTATGGAGAATATCAGACAATGTCTAATCACACCACATATCAAGAGGTTTGACAAAGCCAACTTGCTGTTCTTTGTTTTATTAATCTACTTTTATACCATTTTTTTTTTTTCATGGGCTTCAGTTTTTGAGCTAAAAGCACAAAACTTTGCACGATTGTAGTGCCTATATAGGAATAATGTGCTTGTGCTTTTGGGACCAATCGCAGATACACATACTGCACTATAACGTTTTTCATACAGCATTTGTTCACACGTAGTTAGGAAATTAATGTTAAGAAAAATCACAACAGTGTGATGAGGCAAACGTGTTGCCCATCACCAGAGACTATATGTGTGTGTGTGTAATACTTACCTGAACACCTACCAGTAATACTCACCTGTTGTCTGTTTCCTAACACCAGCAGCAAAGGGAGGCAGAGCAGACGGAGCTCACTTATGAGTGTGCCGGAGGGCCCACGGCTAGCTCATGAGAGGGGTGATGTCTCTACCTAGGTTACAGAAGACAGAGTGAGATAGACTAGTAAATCTGCACACCATGTGAAACATCTTGCCGGTAATGTCATACATTAAGGCCTGGTGATGTGAGATTATGATTTTATCTACCCTTGTTTTTAATCCACTCTTATAGGACAGCAACACCCCTGCAGAGTGGAATGGTTTAGCTCAGGTGATGCAGGGGTGGGGCTAACCCTATAAGAGGTAGGGGAAAGGTGTAGTAGGGGGCTCGATGATACTCACCTCAGACTGTGAAGAGACTGAGGGGAAGGGAGTAAGAGCCAAGCTGGAGAGAATATAGTCCCATGGCCTTGCGGCCTAAGACTCCTTACCTGGACTGATCGAGTCAGGTCAACATTTTACCCACCACTTACTTTGTTTGTACAGTTTTTCTTTTGTGTGTTTCCACCATGTAAATAAATCTCACTGATTGCCAAGAATCATCCGGAGTTGTCACATCTTCAGTCTGCAACTGCATTCCAACACCCATTCAGTCACAATCTACCCGGTGACTTCGTGTCTCCTCATGGGGTTCGGCGGAGCATCGTCACAAACAGCCTTAATGACTTGGCAACCACCTGGAATACCATACCTATGGCCTAGCAACACCTTAGCAACCAACTGGAATACCATAGCAATGACCTAGCAGTGTCTTAGCAATCACTTTTGACAACACATCAACACCTTAGCAACCACCTGGAATACCATAGCAATAGCATAGCATCACATTAACAACCACCTGGGATACTATGGCAAAGACCTAGCACTGTCTTAGCAATCATTTGGGACAACACAGTAACACCTTAGCAACCACCTGAAATACCATAGCTATGGCCAAGCAACACCTAAGCAACCATCTGGGATGCCATGGCAACTGCTTTGTCAAGTCGATTTAGTTTGTTCATAAACTTCCCCTTCTATTTATTTGTTGTCAGCATTTTTAGGTTTTAGATTTCAGTCCAGTGTGATTTTGGCCAAGAATTTCCATTTTGGTCCATCACTCATTAAAACAGTGACCTCACTTTCAGTTGATTATGCTTGTTTAGGAAATGATTCAGTGCATCATGATGTCTTAGCAACCACCTGGGATAACAATAGTAAAATCAACTCGTGGTCAAGCTTTTTAGTGCATTAGAATTAGAACTAAATATACATTGAATACAGAAATATAAATGGAGAAACCATTTACACAGTGGTCAGTTATGGACAATAAGAATATGATTATAGATAATAAGAATATAGTGTTTAGTTTATAGGTGTGTTCTGACATCGATGCAGCTGAATTGACGCCTTCAGATCAATGCACACCACTATAAAATACACTGGTGTGCAGTTTTTTGGCTCTTTACCCTTGGAACAAATGTTTTTTAATAGGGATGCACCAATACAACAGTTCTGAAATTCGAAATTCGATGTCTTTCATGAACATATCTGCCAGTACCGAAACACAAACCAAAGAAATTGTGACTAAATTAATCTGGATAGGAATTAAGAAGAAATATAACAAATCTAACAAAACTCATTTAGAGTGGTTTGGTGTGCGATGGTTGATTGTAGAGACTCACCATGACTACAACACAAATATAGACATTTTATTTACTATGATGATGATTAAATAAATATTTAATAAAATGTGGTTCAAAATCCTCTCAGAACTATCATAAAACAGTGTCTCAGTCATCAGGCAGTGAATTCATAACCACTTCATGTAGGAACTTTCTGTGAGGGAGCTTTTAGAGGTGGACGTCTGGTTCCTATCACCACCACTGTGAACAATTCTGACTCGGCATATTTCTCTAGAATTGAGCATTTTGTTTACATTAGTTTACCATTTAACTGTGCAGAATGCGTCGTTCGTTGGGTGCTTTATGTTTGTTAAAGAGGATGTTGAATGTTCTGGAAAGTTCCCTCCAGGCTGCTTTGACTGTCATGTTTGAGCCTCTGGCACATGAGCTGTTTCCCATTATCTCCTGCTTCCTGGAGGTTTATAGACTTCAGGTGTGATTGGTGATCCGGGAAGAGTTGTATTAACAGGCACTTCACACTGCAGTGACCGGCCTCCTCAATGCCAGAGGAGAAGCAGCCCTGCTTTATTGTGCTAATGACTCCCTGCTTTCAGACGGGTCGTGCTGTCTCATTGGGTTCAGCGCTCTCTTTTAACAGGTGGTATAGATTTAGTGCTGGGTGGTGCTGAGAGAATTCTATTACAGTATCTTCCAAATATTTCACAAGATCACAGTATTAGATGTTATTTGTTAGCATTAATAAATCTAAAAGTAGATGAATATTTAAACAAATAAACCCGCACTTCCTGAGGGCATCTATTCTACTCTAAAACAACGTCTCGAACATGCAGATATGATGTTTGATTGGATTATTGTTACAAGAAAGTTACACTAAAGAGAACCTGACACATTATTGTAAATGCTAACCGGATTTCCAGAACAGAAATGTACTGTTTTTTAGGATCTGGCTGAAAATTTTGTGGCCAGTGACATTTTTCAGGGGGCTGAAAATTCCCATAACCAGTAATATTGGATGCTAACTTTCCATTTATACAGTTTAAATTTTAATTTTATACTAGAAAAGCTTTAGTTTGTCAGTATTAGCTGATACATAACAGTTGGACCCAGTATATATATTTTAAACTGTTGTGCCTTTCAACAGAATCTGACACACCCAACAAATTATACATATATAACAGTTAAGTTTTTTGTTATCTATCAATACCACTAAAGCTAAAATCAGTTTATGTGATATTTCATGATCACTGAATTTTCCATTCTTCATCATCATCATCATCGTTAACCGCTTAGTCCAGATAGGGTCGCGGTAGCAGTTGGGAGAGCAGAGAATCCCAGGTGACCCTGTCCCCCGCAACTTCCTCCAGCTCATTCCCGGGGACCCCAAGCCGCTCCCAGGCCAACTTGGAGATATAATCCCTCCAGCGGGTCCTAGGACGACCCCGGGGTCTTATTCCGGTAGGCCGTGCCTGGTACACCCCCACCGGGAGGCGTCCCGGGGGCATCCGGATCAGATGCCCGAACCACCTCAGCTGGCTCCTCTCAATGCGGAGGAGTAGCGGCTCTACTCCGAGCTCCTCCCGGATGGCTGAGCTCCTCACCCTATCAAATAGAGTGTAGCCCGCCACCCTGCGAAGAAAGCTCATTTCTGCCGCTTGTATTCGCGATCTCATTCTTTCGGTCATTACCCACAGCTCATGACCATAGGTGAGGGTCGGGATGTAGACTGATCGGTAAACAGACACCCTCTTCACCACTACAGTCCGGTACAGCGACCGCATTACTGCTGCCGCTTGTCCCAGCCTGCGGTCGATCTCACGATCCTTCTTCCCATCACTCGTGAACAAGACCCCGAGATACTTAAACTCCTCCACCTGGGGCAAGTCCTTTCGAAGTCTCCTTTCCAGCACCTTGGCATAGACTTTCCCAGGGAGGCTGAGCAGTGTGATACCCCGATAGTTGGCACACACCCTCCGGTCCCCTTTCTTGAAAATAGGGACCACCACCCCGGTCTGCCAGTCCAAGGGTACTGTTCCCGAGGTCCATGCACTATTGCAGAGGCGTGTCAGCCACGACAGCCCCACAATATCCAGAGCCTTAAGCATCTCCGGACGAATCTCATCCACCCCCGGTGCCTTGCCACTGAAGAGCTTGCCAACTACCTCAGTGACCTCCACCAGGGAAATGGAGCTTGACACGCCAGAGGCCTCTGGCCCTGACTCCCGTGAGGGAGGCATGTCACCCGGATTAAGGAGTTCCTCAAAGTGCTCTTTCCACCGACCGACAATATCCTCATTTGAAGTCAGAGTTTCTCCACCCCTGCTGAATACAGCCTGGGCGCAGTCACCCCGACCACTCCTGAGTCGCCGGACAGTTGTCCAGAACCTCCTTGAGGCCGACCGAAAGTCTTTTTCCATGGCCTCACCAAACTCCTCCCACGCCCTGGATTTTGCTTCTGCCACCGTTGCAGCTGCCACCTTTTTTGCATGTCGGTACCTATCTGCTGAATCGGGAGTCCTTCGGCCATCCAGTCCCTAAAGGCCTCTCTCTTTAGCTTGACGGCCTCCCTCACCACCGGTGTCCACCAGGGGGTTCTTGGGTTACCGCCATGACAGGCACCAACAAGCTTTTGGCCACAGCTGCGCCTGGCAGCTTCCACAATGGAGGTTTTGAACAGGGTCCATTCAGACTCTATGTCCCCTACCTCCTCCGGGACATGAGAAAAGCTCTCCCGGAGGTGGGAGTTAAAATCATTCCGAACAGGGGCCTCCGACAGTCGTTCCCAGCACACCCTCACTATTCGCTTGGGCCTACCGGGTCTAACCCTCAGTCTTCCCTGCCATCTGATCCAACTCACCACCAGATGGTGATCAGTTGACAGCTCAGCACCTCTCTTCACCCGAGTGTCCAGAACATATGGTCCCAAGTCAGATGAAACGACGACAAAGTCGATCATTGACCTTTGACCCAAGGAGCTCTGGTACCATGTACACTTATGAACATCCTTGTGTTCAAACTTGGTGTTCGTTATGGACAATCCATGCCTGGCGCAGAAGTCCAATAACAATTCACCATTCGGGTTTAGATCGGGCAGGCCGTTCTTCCCAATCACGCCTCTCCAGGTCTCCCAGTCATTGCCAACATGAGCATTGAAGTTTCCCAGTAAGACTATGGAGTCTGTAGTCGGGACCCTTTCCAGAACCCCGCCCACTTGCTCCAAGAAGGCCGAATACTCCGACCTGTTGTTTGGTGTATAAGCACACACAACAGTCAGAGTTTTCCTCTCTGCGATTTTAATACGCATTGAGGCGACCCTCTCGTCCACCGGGACAAACTCCAACTGTACTGCCGCCAGCCGGGGACTCGTGAGTATCCCCACACCCGCCCGGCGCCTCTCACCTTGTGCAACCCCGGAGTAGGAGAGGGACCAACCCCTATCCAGGAGTTTGGTTCCAGAGCCGATACTGTGGGTGGAGGTGAGCCCAACTATTTCTAGTTGGTACCTCTCAACCTCCCGCACAAGCTCCGGCTCCTTCCCCCCCAGTGAGGTTACATTCCACGTACCAAGAGCCAGTTTCTGCTGCAGGGGCCTAGGCCACCAAGGGCCCCCCTGCAATCTCCCACTGCCTGTACGGCACTGCACCACTCCCCCATGCTGGACCTTGCGGGTGGTGGGCCCACATGGTCCCCCCACATTGCCTCTTCGGGCTGAGCCCGGCCGGGTTACGTAGGGGTAGGTCCCGGTGACCCTCTCCCAGGCAGGGTACACGATGTTCTGTGTTCGTTTTTCATGGAGGTTTTTGGATCGAGTTAGTCTGGGTCTTCACTCCAGACCTGTTCGCCCTGGGAATTTTCCATTCATTGATCATGAAATTGATCCATTTAATTTAATTATTTGCATGATATGTAGAGATATTAGGTTCCCAATAAATGTGAAGTATATAGAATTTCTGTGAAATGGAAAGCGCAAATTATTAGCATTAGAAAAAAATAAATTGTACACTAACTTTTGTATTGCAGCTATGTCCAAAGTTCATGTGTTTGCCCACCATCAGGCTCAGGCTCATTTACCGTGAGCAGAACGAAGACTACACTTAATGTTTTTATAGTTTTGAATTTCACCTGTGGATTCCTGACTTATTGTAAATCACTTCTGTTCAGCTATATTGATACATTAAGGATTAAGTTTCATTTCTTTTCCTTCTGCAGCTCCCAGTCCCACCACTGCCATCCACTACATGGCCACAAAGTGTGTGGACAACGCGAAAAGCCATTCTCAGAGCAAGTGGTTCATGCCCTGGGGTCCAAACCAGTGTCATAAAATCAGAGACTTTGATGAGGCCACGGCCAAGAGGATCGAGGCCAACAACATCGTCTTCGCTGTGCACATTCCTATGCCTAACAAAGAGATGAGTCCCTGGTTCCAGTTCATACTGGTCATCCTTCAGTTCGACATTGCCTTCAAAATGTACAACCAGATTGGTGAGTTTTCCACTTTGAATAAATCCATATGAATTCTTGCTGAGTATGAGCGTGTAAAGCCCAATTAGTGGAAGACCCGAGCAATAATGCAACCCTTAATGCGGTTGGACTGCGTAGTGGATAACCCTGTTACAAAATCGGCCTGGCCTGCTGTGATCATTAAGCAGTTTTTTGCATTTGTGTGTGATAGTTGAGGACGATATTTTGTTGCTGCTAGACTGATAAATTACAAGATGTGTATGTCTAGACCAGGGGTCGCAACCCAAATATTAAGAAGAGCCATTTTGTTCTTTCAACAAAAATCAATCCACCTTGGGAGCCACAATATTTTATGTCCATTTTACCATCTTGGCTATAACTATGTCTCAATATGTGCTGATGTACTAGTATAGACTAAAAAAAAATAAACACAAAAAACACAGACTTACTTTGCTCTGCTTTAAGCTTTAGCTCAGCTACAGCTGCTTTTCTCACATCTCCGGCAGGAAACTTTTCTGCAAAGTGGAACGTTAGTTTCTAGTAAAATGTCTGTCAATGCTTGACTTTTTACGAGGCTGAAGTCGCTTCTCATTTGCCAGCTTCTTGTTAAGATTTTACCGATCCATCTTAAATGGTGCCAATGGCGCCAGAATGTAACTGCTGTACTGTTTAAGGTGAAACTGAAAAATTTCAAACAAGAAGCTAAATTCAGCTTTGCGAATTTTTAGTGTTTGTCAGTTTCTCGTTGCAGGTTAAACGTATCAGGAAACCAGCCAGAGTGATTATAAAACCATTCCATAATCCATAAATCCATTCTCATTAAATTGTTCTCTTTTAATAGCTACTAGCTAGGTGAGATTGTTGTCTGCGTTGCTATGTGACCAGCAGTCTGCGCACCAGTGTCCAGGGTTAAAGGGTGAATTAGCAGTTATAAGCTACATTAACTCCAGTGTTTAAGCCCATTTCTTGTTAAACTGTGTTGAACGATCAGCAGAGCTTTATTTCACTGTATTATTTATCTACATTATTTTATTTTTACCTATGAATCTAATTCTGCTGTGGAGCCGCAAAAGAGCCTCATGCGACTCTGGAACTGCGTGTTGCCGATCCCTGGTCTAGACAGAAAAGGGGAGTTGAGTCTTATGTTGAGTGACTCACCACTCAACTCTTACTCAAGACAAAAAACTTGTGAAATTTCAGAGGACAGGATCATCAACGTTTAATGTGGTAAATAGGTAAAACATTTCATTTCCAACGTTACATGTATAACTTTGCCTGCAGTTTGGCTGCAGTGATGTGTCGTCATTACTGCAATACTGTTCTTAGATTATTACATAATCGCGTAACAGCAATAAATTTGCTTGATTGCATTTATGTTCCGCAGTCATTATTGTTCACAACTGTATGTTTATGTTGCGTCAAATGGAATGTGAGTTTTCATGGGTTGACGCAAATGCATTTGAGTAAAACAAAACACTTTTCTGAGACACGTCGGGGGTCTTACGAAACGCTGGTGCTATGTGGTGATGAGTAATGTTTGTTTATTTGAGCTCAAACTGTGTCCATATATTGAGAGCTACTAAGATTTACTGCGAGAAAGCAACTCGAGACTCAACTCAAACTCTCATGAAGTGACTCGAACTTGAATCTATGCTCCGACGACACTGAACAGCTAATTTTTTTTGGTATATTTTGTTGTCAGGATAAAAGAGGTTTATTTAATAGTTTAGAATGGTCATTAATTGTGATAATAGGAAATAGGACTCGGGAGAATAGGGAATAGGTCTTCTGTCTGTAAGGATTTTAAGAGGCAGCGCATGAGTACCCACAGGAATGTCCCTTTTTGGCCCAAAGCAGACTGAATTTCTCACACGCTGAGAGAGGACTAACAATGATGGATGTGCTGTTTTCACTGGGATGTACCAGCACCCAGCAGGGGCTCAGACACAATCCTCCAGTTTTCAGTTTTATGGGGGTAAAAATGCTCCAACACTCAGAATTGGATCTTAATGACAAAGACTGTGATTCGTCCATCTGGATGAATTGCTGTTTCATTTCTTTATTTACTGTTTAATGTATAATGAATGGTGCAAATGATTAAACAGGACATTTTCAAATGGTGTTGCAGTGCCTGAGTGCTGAGATCTCAGGAAACTTCACAGTGGACTAAATTGTGTTCTTATTGAGCTTTAGGAATTTAGGGTTAAGAGCAGTTGCAAAGAAAGCCATTACCCTGACCGTGTCTTAATTAGCTGTATAGCGCTGTTCCTTCTCATAGATTTTCTGGATTGTTTGCATCAGAGAATTATCGGCACATGGTATTGGAAAAGCCTGGATTATAGACAGTAATTACTTTTCAGTTCAGAATTCAGAACCATTGGCCAACTGTGCTTTGCACACAGAGGAATTAGACCTCCGCATTTTACCCGTCCGTGCAGTGACACACTAGTGAACACACATACACTAGGGGGCAGTGAGCACACTTGCTGGATCGGTGGGCAGCCCTATCCACGGCACCCAGGGAGCAGTTGGAGGTTAGGTGCCTTGCTCAAGGGCACTTCAGTCATGAACTGTTGGCTCAGGGGATTGAACCGGCAACCTTCCGGTCACAAGGCTGTTTCCCTAACGTCCAGCCCATGACTGCCCCATTTATATATATATGACTGGGAAAGATGTTTTTAGGAAATCCTTTAGATAAACTTCAGCAATGCTATAGTGGTGTAGGCTACAACATTAACTTGGCTAACTAGCAATGCCAAAACAGCTGCTTAGCCCATCCAACAGATGTGTGTTCCTATTGAATTTCGACTGCATAAACAGCCAATAGCTTCGACTGCATAAATAACCAATAGCTCCCCCTTGTGGAGAATATTCAGCCTGCCAAACACGGCTTTTTAATGAGCCTGCAGGTAGCCTGTTTATGATCAAATTACACACTAATCACTAAGCGGATTCCTTGAGAATGTAGATTGTAATCAAATCTGTTTTTTTGTAAATCAAGTAATTGCGACTGTAACAAGTAACACGCTGTTTTAAACTCTGTCAATAAAATCAAGCTACTTGGTAACAGAGAGAAACAAATGAGGCTGGAAATCTGCAAATCCCAGCCAAAAAAATAAGCTGCACAATGTCTATATAAAGTTGGCAGATGATTCATGAATGCTTGCTGTCATACACAAAATGTTTTAAAGTGTACTGCACTGACGGTGGGAGAAAATAAATGTTAGCTTGGCTTAATAGCCGCCGTGCTAAAATCTGCTTAGAGCAAATCATACATACATGGTGTTACTTCAGAGTTGGGCATTAACGAGCATTTTGTTCATCTTTACAGTTGTCCCTCTTTTTCTTCATTCAAAAGTATTAATCCTAAAGATCTTCTTCTCTTTTTATGTGAACCGAGTAATTTTCAGTTGTTTTGTAGTTGTAGTTGTTCGCTGTTGGATGCCGCCTCATTCCTTTCCTAGAAGTTCCTCCCCTCCAGATGTTCATGTTTACTGAGCGTGTCTGAGTGACGAGGGCTGAAGACCTCTGATCTTCTGCCAGGTCTGTCTCTCAGAGCATTCGCCTCCGTGAGCAAAACCTCAATCCATGTCAACAGTTGTGCTCGTAAGGTTGGGTTAATTGGGCTCCCAGGTTGATGGGAAGTTACAGATTCAGTTGGTGTTTACATCGTTTGCCAAACACGAGTCAACTCACCGAGTGTCTTCGTTTGTTTGAGATGGCTGGAATTTACCACTTCCTGTGTAGAATACAGGCCAGTTTTTAGAATTAACCAGTCTGCAGTGACAGCAGAGGAGGGTAAAGTTCAGCTCCTCACTGCTGGGCTTCAGTTACATTTAGGGCATCATATGCCTTCAAAGAGGGGGGCAATTATTTATCACCTAATTCTTCAGTGATATGAAGCTGAAGTCAGATATTCACCAGCTTCTTGTTCAAATTCTCCCATTCAACCTGGTGCAGCAGTTACATTCTGGCGCTTCAAGTGTCAGTAATGCTGGACTATTTAAGGTGTAACGGGAAAGTTAGCTAGCTAGCTACCGAGACATTAGCATGCTATTAGGGTTGTTTTTTTTTTTGTTTTGTTTTGTTTTTTTTTGTTCTTGTTGTGTGTGTGTGTGTGGTTTTGTGCTTGTTATGACTATGGCTACGTTCACATTACCAGGTTGAAGGGGCACAAATCCGATTTTTTGCCCTAATGTGATTTAGATCTGATGTTTTCAGGGCTGTGTGACACGCAAATCTGATCTTTTCAAATCCAACCTGAGCCCCTTTCATATCTAGTCCTAGATCGGATACATATCTGATTTGTAGCCATGTGGCCTTAACGTGGCGCTCAGATCGGAATTCATGTCCTTGTTCTCCACTGCGCGTGCGCCATCATCCAGCGTTACCATGGCAGCAGCGCCGAACTGAAGTTAAAGCCAGTAAATGGTGGAAAAACAACACATCTCACCTTTTTCTCCCTCGTCTCGCTCTAATAATGAAGCTGAGAGCTGATCAGAGTTAATGATCTTCTCAGCGAAGCTCGTTCTGCTCGTTAGTTTGTGCTGATGATGAACGTGATTCATTCACGTGACGTTACTGAGTAGGATGAGCTCATGAGGGTCATTTCAGGATGCCGGTTCGTCACATTAATGACAGATTTGAGTCACTTACCTAAACGAGTGTGAACCATCATGTCAGAGAGATCGGATTTGAGCAATGAGGCTTGTAATGTGAATGTAGCTATAGTTAGACCGGTTTCTTAACTTTTGAAATCATGCCTCTTTGCCACATACTGTGGATAATATCTGTTTATAGAGCATAAAAAACAAATTTGATATTTAAATATCTATATAGGTTAATGAACAGTGAAAACATTAAGGGGGGAAAAGGGAAAAACAGATATTAACACACTGCCATAGCAGTGAAATCCGCAGATATTTGCTTACAGAAAATGATCATGACTGGACAGAGGTTTACACTTGATCAATATTAGAAACTGATATTTGATGATGTAATAAGGTAAACCTCAGTGTTTAAAAATGATGCTGGTATTTCAGAATTATGTCAAATTTCTATATTTCTATACAAATAAACACATTTAGATTTTAGAGGGGTCACTGATTGGAGGTGTGGGAGCTCACCGATAGAAAGAGGGGAAAAATCAGAGCCGAGGAAAAGCTAAGTGTGATAGCGGCTCAGCGACGGCTAGAAGCTCCACTCGCCACGGAACACGCTCAGCTTTCACTCCAACACCGGTCACTCGGCTCTGCGCTCTCAGAAATCCTGTAAACGAAGATCATTTATCATCAGTTAGCTGGGACTGGGCCTGTGCTGTGCTGTGTGGCATGTTTGGCATGCTAACTCAGCTATCATTAGCTTAGCCAAAATGCTACAGATACAAACACCACAGAACAGGCTTAATTTCTCCTTTCTGTTGATTCAGCTCCAGTTGCTCAACTTCACTCCCTCAGGTTTAAATCGTTATCCTCTAACCTTGTGCCGCTGCTTTAGTGAGCCAGAACCGAACATGTTCTGTGGTGAGCAGAGCTGCTGCTACACTAGCTAAGCTAATGCTAACCGACGCCTCTCTCCTGGTTAGCTGCACTGTTCATCGGTTAGCATTTGTCAGATATGGTTTGACATTTATTGAATGATGGCTTGAAAATTGTGCTCTGTGTTCAGTTATTTGGTGACCATGAAAGTGTTTTTTTTTTTTGTTTTTTTTTAATTCTGAAATAACACAGGCTGAGGTGGGACAAAGGTGTCCTAAATGCTTTTTGCATCACTTACGACACTGCTAACCAACCCCCCCACAGCAATGTCACATACCATGAGAGGTCCAGTATGTGGAGGCTGTTTGAAGGTAAAAGTTAGACTTCCTAACCCTGATTTAAAAGACTGATTGTGGTGGATTTAGTCCCAGTTTCTGTATTTAAAAAAAAAAAAAATGCAGATATGCACATGAAACATATTGGATATCGGCGGCCCCCCAACCCACTGGGGTAACAAAGTAGAATCTTGCTGTGAATGCCCCCAAAAATCCCCCCCCCGTCACAGTCTGGAGGGCCAAGTCTGGCGCAGCTCCAGCAATAACACAGCTGTTGAAAGGGCTTAGTCTCCTGGGTGATGGCCGCTGTGTTCGGGGGGAATGTTTGTGTGTGCTAAGCTGACATTCAGAGAAGGGGGGCACTGCCAACAGAGCTCAGGAGAGAGAGAGAGCGAGCGAGCGAACACTGGTAATAATGCCCCCCACCACCTTTCTCTTTCTCTCTGGAGCTCTCGTTCACCCACTTTGCCTCTCTTCCCCCCCACCATCCAGGTTGAGCTGGAGAATTAGTGTCTGAGCTCTGAGCTCTTCAGCTTGTTTCATAACAGCACAAGGGCCTCTTCAGAAGGCAGAAGGAGCCCAGAGAGCCTGCAATGTGATCTAAACCGAAGCTTCAGGACTTCAGAGCTTCAGGGCTCGTACAGCCGTGCGGGGTCTGTTCTCTCACAGCATTGAGTGGTGAAATCTCCGCAAACTGACCAGCAAATTGTAGTCCTGCCAGACAAAATGCTCAGCAACAATATCAACTCAAAGCCCAAGCAAAATGAAAATGAGCTCAAATCAATATATTAAATAAACCACAAATTATATTTTGGACAAAAGATACGTTTTGTTTAACAGGTTTGTTTGTTTTTTGTTTTTTTTAAACATAGGTTTTAAAAATACTAGCACCCCCATTATTTATATTTGGTGAAGCCTCCGCTGGTGAGAACAAGCAGAGCTACTTTCTGTAATTCTTTACACGGTTGGAGAACACTTGGAGAGGGATCATGTACCACTCCAGTTCCTCTGTATTTCTGGATGTTCATCTGTGAGCTACTCTCGAATTTGGAGACTGCAACACCCCAGCCCCCAACTTTACATTGTGTTCCCTCAACTATTTCTTTGTGGATTTTGATGCGTGTTTGGGGTCATTATCCTGCTGAAAGTATCAGCCTTTTGTCGGAGGCATTTGGTGGAATTAATCATGCCGTTCATTTTCATCAAGAGCCCCTGGACCACCAGCAGTGAAACCGCTCAAAAACATCACTGATGCAACATCAAATATTTGACAGGAGGCATTTCATAGTCTTAATTTGAATGAAGTTGAGTTTGGAGTCTTGGAGTCTGAAAGGAAACTTTGTGTTTGCATTAGAGAGCCTGGAATATCTTAAAGCAAGAGCTTAGTGAAAAGCTTTTCGTCAACCAGCGAAGACGACTTTGGTTCAGACAAAATAGACAAAAGAACAGATAGAATTAAGCTTTGAGAGCTAAAAACAATAGAAACAGCTATATGACATACGTTTGTCTGTGTGCATAAATAACAGTATGACAGTGTCAAAGTGCATAATTAATCTTAGTCACCTCAGTTTGAGGCAATTCTGCAATATTATAATTATGAAGCGTGCAATATAATTGATGACATGTGGTTTGTATGATGCTAATTAGTAAGGTTCTAACATGTCTTGGCTGATCAACTACGTTTTATTATTATTATTAGAAATAGTAGTAGTAGTAGTAGTAGTAGAAATAATGCATAATATTAATAATTGATATTCAGTATATTACATTAAATGAATAATATTATTAGCATAAAATTATATTTATCCACTTATGATTAACTAAAAAATCAGATAAGCGAGATCCTTCAGGCTGTGACTACAGGGGTGATTACAGTGGCGATTACAGTGGCTACTTTATATTCACATATGACACGTGTGAAGCAAACATTCATTCTTCTAGAATATACAACCCCCTATAAACTCACTGTATGAATGTGAGACTTTTATTATTTGTGTGAGATGTGTGAAGATTTTCTTGCACACATCCCCCTAAAACTAATCCAATCTGAATACAGCCTAATATAATGTCTGCAGACCAAGGTGTTGGTAGATGGACTGACATCCGGATCACCCCATTGGTCATGCCAGTGGAATGGTGTTGAAGAGTGACGGCCGTCTGACTTTTCCTGACTCTGACTTTCCTGGCCGTCTGACTCTGAATGTGTCCTTTCACTGGTCCTTCTCTGGCCTTTTCTACAAAGGCCTCAGCTGGACGTCAGTCGTCAGAGTTTAATTTTGTTACTGAGATGTTAAAGGGCCCATATCATGAAAAAATAGTACAGAGCAGGTACTATTTGGGTGGTGGATCATTCTCAGCACTGCAGTTACACTGATGTGGTGGTGGTGTGTTAACATGTGTTGTGCCAGTATGAGTGGATCAGACACAGCAGTTCTGCTGGAGTTTTTAAACACTGTGTCCACTCACTGTCCACTCTATTAGACACTCCTACCTTGTCAGTCCACCTTGTAGATGTCTGCGTTTTTCAGACGAAGTCATGCATCTTTATATGATGACAATAGTAGATAATTCACTCACAATCTTGTTCTTGTTCTTCACCAAGTTTTGAGTTCTCTTCAAATAATTTATCGAAGTGTTCGCAATCAGATTCATCCACTCCGGGAAGGGGTCCATGTTACAAAATGTTTAGTAAATTCAGATTCAGTGCTGATACTAGCATTATTTTTGTGCTGTGAGTTGTCATTTGCCACACCTACATCCGTAGGGTCAGTGTCATCCACTCCTATCTGGGATTTCCTTATTTCAAGGGCCAGTAAACCAATAAAACCAAACAAACATTACATCGCTCTGGGGCGTAGATGCAGACCTGACCTTGTTGGTTACGTATAGTTGACGGTTTATTATTCATTTACTGATTTATCTGTTTATTTCTCTCATTTGAAGTGCCTTTGTAATATAGCAGTTCATGTCTTTCATTAGAGAGTGGCAGCTGATAAAGAAAATCTGTGCATGTTTGTGTCCAGAGGATGGAGCAGTGGTCACTGTAGATGTCGGGCTGGCCTATAGAGACGACGGTCTGAGTGAATGGACGGAGATGGCTCACTCTGTTGAACTGCGTAAGCTCAACTGCAATTTCACCACCCCCAAGGTAAACAAATTCACAGCCTTCACACATTCTCACACTCCTTCACACTCACCCCCTGCTCCTACAGGCATCAGCGCATCAGTGAGTGGACTGTTGTATTATTATGATTATGAGATTATCAGTCAGAGACCACCCCTCATTTATTTAAGTTCCACTCAAAACGACTATTAAGCACAAGTTATTCATTTTTTGTGAAAAAGATTTTAAGGCATGTTTAACAGAAAACTACTCAGAAACCTCAACATTACTTTTCCCTTCATTCCAGCTTCCATTCTTTTCAGGAGACTCACTTTCAATACCTCAAAGAATCTGCAGACACACCTCCAAAGTTCAGTCTTAGAAGCTGGTTGATCATTTTCTGAAGTAATCAAACACATTCAGTGGTGTTGAGGTCTGGACTCTGGGGTGGTCAGTCCATCGTTCAGCTTCTTTGTTTGATGTGTCCGTCTCCTTTTCTCAGTGAGGTTCTTCTGGACAGCTACACATCCTTTCAGACCCACAGCGCTGAGTCGTCTTCTCACAGTGGAAGGGATGGACAGAAACACCTGTGGATGTTTTCAGATCTGAAGCAGCTTGATTTTCTCCTCTCTCTCAGAGATGAAAGCTTTAAGTGCTGTTTATCTGATGGGGGCAGTTTTGGTGTCTACCAGCTCTTCCAGGTGGTTGTTAGGAGCCCCGTTTTTCACTGTAGCTTTTAATCAGTTTTTGAACTCCAGTTTTTGTTTTTTGTCCCCCCCCCACTTATTTTCCTTTGAATTTCTCCTGTCTTATGCAAGTGGTTTATTTTATATCTTATCTCCTGAAAAATGAATAACTTGAACTTATTGAAGATTTTGACTGGAAATTAAATAAAGGCATTTCATTTTTGCACTTCAGACTGATGCATTTGTACACTTGTAGTTATTACTGTTCTCCAATACAGCAGTAAAAAAACAATTCTGAACTTTCTCCTTTTTTTTTTTTCTAAGACTATTGATAACGAAGGTCGCTATTATGAATGTGACCTAATGCCCTTGATGGAGATTGGCTGTGTGTTCCACAAGTACTACCTTCTCAACATCCGCTTACCTGTCATTGAGCGTAAGAAGGTGAACGTGGGAATCGGAGAAATCAAGGACATCCGCCTGGTGGTGAGTGTACACTGTTAGAAATAAAGGTTCTGTTCAGGTACATTTTCCGTTCATCAAGGTACAAACAGTGGTTTTAAGATCTGATTGTGAACCTTAAATAAGTTTTTCCAGGTGAAAAGTTCGTATTTGTACCTTTTCATAACCGAATGTTTTAAACAGAACAGTAAAATAAAAGCCTGGAGACGAGACGGGGTGTGTGGAGTCAGTACAGCTTAGAACATATCATTTCAGTGGATTATGGTTCAGTTATGTTCTCTGAGTAAAGGGAACTGCCCCAGTGACAGTTTAGTACCTTTATTTCTGAGATTGTAGAGTCCGTTCAAAGATGATTTAGACAAAGATGATTAGTGTTCTCAAAAGTAGCCAAAGAGATGCAGCATAATCATAATGCATATACTACCATTTAAAGGTTGGGAATCTATGTTTTCAATAATAAGGCCATTCTAATTTATATATACAAAATGGTTGTAATGTGCTCATCCTGTACAACTTCAAACAGCTGTTAGGAAGCTGTAAAAATGGAAGAAGTAGTGAACAGAGCTGTAGACGTCTCTAAAATGACTGTAAAATCTGATATCCACAGCTGAAGTTGTAATGTCACCAGTATTCAGAATTCATTACTGGCTGTCAAATCTTGAGGCAGATAAAACGTTAAAAGTAAATATATCACGCAACGTTTATAATTTAATAACACCCCCACTCACCGTTTGACCTGTTACTCTTAACTATCAGCAAATAATTATGCTTCATCTCCTGAATGAGTAAAAGTTGGTCTCTAGCTTGGCCTCCACTGCAGTTCTCCTGATGTAGATGTTTGACTGCAGGCTATTTTTCTCCAACATTTCAGGGCATCCATCAGAATGGTGGCTTCACAAAGGTTTGGTTTGCCATGAAGACCTTCCTCACCCCCAGCATCCTCATCATCATGATCTGGTACTGGAGAAGGATTACCATGATGTCAAGACCTCCAGTGCTGCTGGAAAAGTATGACCTTTCTTGGATTCCTTACTAGCAAAGGCTTACATAGCACTTTGGCATGTGCACCTCATTTTGTGTGGAGGTGAAGTTGAGATTGTTGGGGCGAGAAGGAGTTCTGTGTGTGTGTGTGTGTGTGTGTGTGTGTGTGTGTGTTTGTTTGTTTGTTTGTTTGTTTGTTTGTTTGTTTGTTTTTATCCTCCCCTCAAAATTAATTTTGAACCATGACTTTGCATTTTTTTTTATAGGAAACAAACATTTTATTGAAGTCACTGTAATTGCAGGAGTATTTTAACAGAGAATAATGAATGAATTCATTCAGGACTCTCACTTACATAAAGCAGGCTAGAGATTCTCCACAAGGCGGGGGGGGGGCTGTTAGCTCTCAAATGGCTTTTGTGTGACTCACTGAAAGAAGCAACTGGTGAATGAACCCACACCAGCAGGAGCACACTACTGCCCATAGTTTTAGCTTGTTTCACTTTTATTTTGGGAGTGTTTAAAGTAAATAAAAAGGTCAGTATGTCGATACAAAAACAGTATTTTCAGTAGTGCTGCCCATAAAGTATTGATATCAAGTGTTGGCCCTATCAGCAGGAGATCGCAAATTCGATCCCTGGTGGTGCTGCAGCCGTCTGTGGCCGAGAGTAAGTACAGTTGGCCTCTCTCTCTGGGTGGACAGGACTGGCAGTTGGCGTTCTCCTCCGAGCGTGTTCAGCTGTCCAATGACGTTGCGTGAGCGGCAGTTCGAAAGGATGTGGTGGCGCTTCACAGGTCTCAGAGGAAGCTTGTGCTAGTCTACGCCCTCCTAGTGCTGGTGGTATCGTGTGGTTGGGGGAGTCCAAACTAGAGCATGGAACTGGATTCAACTAAATTGGAAAGAAAAATCGAGAGGAAAATCAAAAAAAAATTTTTTTTAAATCAATCAGAGGAACGATACTTTAGCTGGACTGAAGAGCAGCATGATGTTTGTGTTCTTGTTTTAAAACTCATCAGTTAATTCCCACATTCAATTAGTTTTGCCATTATGTAGCTGCTAGTTTTTCAAAAACATTGGCTTATAAATAATTTTAAAATGTTATAAAGGTGTGCACGCTGCGTTGTCAAGTCGCCTGTCATTGTGTTATTAACTGTGGCTCATTCTTGCTTACAGGTGTTTATCACACCCCAGAGCCGTGTATTGTTTGTTTGGTTTTGTTGGTTTACTGGCCCTTAAAATAAGAAAATCCAAAAATAATGTTAGTATCAGCGCTGAAACTGGTCTTATTAACCGCTTAAATGGCCAGGGCCTGCCAGCACACCCAAAGTTTTATTACACACTTCTATAACCTAAATACAGCTCAGTCAGTTTGCATTAAAGTCCCTGTAGTTACTATATAACAAGGCTTAGTATGTAATAAGCCTTGATCAGGTACTGGTCAGACCTGACAGATCCACTATCAATACTGCACTCAAAAAATGTAGAACTGGCTCTTGTAGTTGTTAAGAAAACAAAGCAAGTTGATATTAATTGAATGAACCCGTTTTTAAAATGTACTTGAAGTATAAGCTTTGAAAAGCATAATCATCTCACTGAGCAAACTCAGTCAACACAAATAGAACAGAATGAGTTTTTCTGGATCTCCTGGGATTTTCAGCTGCTATCACAAGACACAGAGCTAAATAAATGAAGGCTGTTGTGCTTAAAATAAGACCTATCCTACATTACTAACATAATGAGTTAAAGGAGCGTTTTTGATTGCTTCTCATATTCAAAGATTTTATTCGCTCCTGGCCAGTAGCATAGCCTTTTATTATAATTACTACTTTTTGTCTTTCTTTCTTAGGCTAAATGTGATACCAGATTAGGTTTGGCCAATTTAAGCAAACCATGTTTAATAAAATCATGTTTAAAAATGGCCTTATTTTGAAAGAAAACCGTTTAATTGTGTGGAAATACTTCCCATAATTCAGTTAAGTTTATGAAAATAAGGATTTTTGAGTGTGTTTGGTATTGAGACATTGAACGCGGTGTCGTTCGGACATTTGAAAACGGCAACAGACCAAAAAATATCTAGAATTAATGTCATGTTTCTTTCCCGTACTCCAAAACTGCTTCTCTCCCTTCGTCTTCCTCACTGAGCTTCAACACCTCCACATCTTCACTGTCCGGCCTGAGCTTGCCACCGGCGTTCCCAAAAGACGGGAAGCTCTCAGGCAGTCATAGCGTATGCAGTTCGCAGGGGAAGCGATTATTTTTTCATGTTTTAAAAGCTTTGGCGAGCTGACTTGCCTGCTGTTCCGCTGGGGATTCAGGATGGAAATCGCAACCCTTTTCACATCTCCAGGAGAAGCCCAAGCAGGCGTAACAGCAGCTCCCCACCGGCTTTCTTATTGTGGGAACGGTGCCAAAATGATGCCTCGCTTCAGTGGAGCTGACGTCGACCACGGCTCGGAGAACCGTTACACAAGCCTCCAGCCAACAGTGTCTTTTGGTTTAGGTCATGGACAAACGCAGTAGAAGTAAAGCAATAGCTTCATAACAATATTTAGGTGTACTCAGTTCTCCTCCTTACCCCAAATGTAGTCAACCTGCCGAGACATGTTTGGGGTCCGAAGTTAGGTTTGGTTAAGTCAGAGCCGGTTTATGAGAAGTCTGGCCACTTCCTATTTCCCCTGTTATATCAAAAAAAGGACTGCAAAGCAGAGAGTGCCTGCGAGCGAGTCCTCAATGAATGGGAGGAAATGGAGCTAAATGGCTAAAAACAAAAAATAAAACAGTTTCTAATCAATCGCCCAGAACTTTCCTTTAATTTTAGAAAGCAGAAGGATGTATTTCACAGAAAAGCAAAGAAATTTTGCCTGTATTTTTCCATTTTTCTACAGCAGATGGGTTTTGGGTAGCAGGAGGCTAACATTACTGCTACTGCGTGCTGATTGGCGAATGGAGCAGCTCATTGGCTGTTTGCGCTCACAGACGTCATGAAGAGTTTAAAAGCTCTTAAAAATATAACAGTAGTGTTAGAAGTGTTAGAGTCAGGTTCACCCCACATCCCCTCCCCTCACCCCCGCCCCCCCCAGTCCCCCCACTGGTTTACTCTTTGATCTTGTCTCAGCATGTGTACCTGCCAGAAGGAGATTTACCACCAAGTCTGATTTATGTGTGTGAACAAATCAGTTTATATCAACTTGTTTGCCTTTTTTTTAGGTAGATTAAATAATTGGAGCACTTCATTTAAAATAAGCAGTTATTTTGACAATCAGACACTCAAAAAAGTAAGACCTTATTGACATAATCGGTGAAAATCTTGATGCAATGATCCCTTCAACTTGATCAGTCATATTTGTGGAAAAATGTTATTACATAATAATGGGAAAATAAGCCATGATTTTCGACAGTCAGTGATAATCTTAAACAATTATATTCAAAATCTCAAGAAAAAGGCCATCAATTACTTTGATGTAATTAATCAAAAGCTTAAGAAAATAATATAATAATAAAATAATTGTTTTAACATAATCAGTCCCGATCATGAAAACCAATTTTTTCGTCATGTTCAGCTAAAATCATCTTTTCTGCGTTATAGTGTGCCGCCTTCTTGCTTACTATCCGGTGTCGACCAGAGGAGGATGGGTTCTCCTTCTGAGTCCTGGTTCCTCTCAAGGTTTCTTCCTGTTTCTCTTAGGGAGTTTTTCCTTGCCACTGTCGCCACTGGCGACGCTCATGGGGGCTTGGACCCAGATTTCTTTCTGTAATGCTGATTTCCTTGTAAAGCTGCTTTGTGACAGCACCTGTTGTAAAAAGCGCTATATAAATAAACTTTACTTACTTACTTGCACCTGAACATAAACTATAGCATGAACAGTGTCCTATAAGTCCTTGTGCCGCTTCAGAGCAGGACACTATACGCAATCATGCAGTCTGTTGAGGAGTTTTGTCGTTTTACAGGGTTATCTTTGCTCTGGGAATCTCCATGACCTTCATCAACATCCCAGTGGAATGGTTCTCCGTTGGGTTTGAGTGGACGTGGATGCTGCTCTTCGGAGATATTCGTCAGGGAATCTTTTATGCCATGCTGCTCTCATTCTGGATCATCTTCTGTGGAGAACATCTAATGGTAAAAACGTCAGGGAGCGCTTACAGACGCTGCAGTTTCTTTCCTTTTTTAACTTTTAACCTTCTATTTCATTGTAGCTTTAATAAATTCATTTATTTACATGTATAATTTATGGTGAAATGCCTGTGGAATACTATGTATTGTGTTACGGTGAAAAAGTGAAAACATCTGAAATCTAGTCAATATATCTAATATTTCTCATTGTGAAATTGCTGTAGGAATATTCTAGGATTATTCAACCTACTTCTGGATGTCTTGCTTATTTTAAGTAACTTTATCTAGAAATCTAGAAATTTTGTTGTGGCATTGGTAGATAATTTTACACTAGAATAAGAATTTCACTAGATAAAATGATGAAGTAAAAATGTCTACAATTAATTTATCGTCTTTTAATATTTTTACAACAATCTCAATGAGAAATATTACACTAGATTTAAAGGGCCTATATTTTTCCTTTTTTTCAATTCTAGTCATTTGTGTGGTTTTACAGTCGTCATTATGTTTTACATTGTAAATGAATTAATTAATTTTACGTGATCATTTGTGACCTCACAGAAGCATTGAATTCATCAACGAAACAATGAATACATACGGCGTCAAACTCTTATTTCAAAAAAGGGAAATTTGGCTGTGATATGGGGAGTTTAAAATATATTCACTGGTCTAAACGTCATATTTGGCAGTGTATGTATTGTCCACTGTCATATGCTTTGTGAAATATAGGCCTATATTAATAATACTAACATGCCGGTGTGTTCTACCGAATTGTAATCATCAATGTAGTAAATATGCTTTAAAGGGCTTGTATTTTAGAACAGGGGATCTCAACTTTTTGTATCCCAAGACCCACCTGTTTATAAATACAAAGAACAGCAGCCCACACGAAAACTAAAATCAACTTTTTAAATATAATTTTCTTTTTCTTAAGTGCTGAAACTGAAAATCTGAGAATCAGGGCCGGAACAAGATCAGATCGTCCATTTGGTTCAATCACAGGTCCCAAAATTTGCAGTTATGTTAAAATATATATTTGCAAAGATGTTAAAGGGGGAAAAAGCAAAAAGAATAGAAATGTACGAGGTGGATGTAGACTGTGATTGATATTGCGTTTTCCCTGAGAATACTCCACTGGCTTTGGTCTCCAGATTTCTTTGTTATTTTGTGGTTAATTTGAAATAGCCAGACCTCACTCCACTCACCGGGCTTCTGGATTAGCGTTGTCACGATCAACAATAATAATAAACCTGCTTCTTTGTCATCGGGTTATCTATTTGAGTTTAACCACTCAAGTCGCTGATGCTCGGCTAAAAATACGTTCTGATCTATGAACCAAAATCAAACTCATTTCTTCGCTGTTATTTTATTTTACGGCACCGTGCTGCAGAAACGAGACCAAAGGAGGGTCTGTAAAGAGATGTTAAAACAGGCAGATTATGCTGACGGTACAGCGCTGATGTGCTGCTAGAAGAGGAAAGCGAGCTCTGTTGATGAATCCCCTCGTTTCATCACAGACTGCTTCCCACCAGCTGACAGGGTTTGTTTGGATGCAGCTCAGCTGTCTGTTATAGACCTGAATACGGGTGTCCACACCAAATAAGGTGGGTGTGAAAGCGCTCTGAGAAACGTCTCAACCTCTGGCTCGCTGACTGATGGCTGCGTTGTCTCAAACTGATGTTGTGCAATGGTTTTTATTTGTACATATATTGGTTATAATTTGAAAACGTTTGATTCTTAATTATTGAGTTAATCTTTTTTTTTCCCCACTTATGTTTTTATGACGTTAAACGTTACCTGCCCACTAAGAGCTACTGCCTTCCTAGAGGTCAGGCCCGCGGACCACTACAACGTGTTTCTCGGCCCACAGGTTGAGAAACCCTGTCTTAAAAAACTGAATGTTTATTGAAGTACATTGCTTCTTTATAATGTTGTGTTGGTGAAGCACTGACCAATAGCCAGCGTTATTGAAATGTCAATCAAGATAGATAAACATAAGAGAGAATTTCCAAGGAATATAAAATTCCTTCCTGCTCAAAGCCGCTGTTTTTAATCAGCTTATCTCTCGTGGTCTGTTGCTCTTTTTCCTGCCAGGATCAGACGGAGAGGAACCGTTTCTCCGTGTACTGGAAGCAGGTTGGGCCAATCGTCTTTGGCTCCTTCTGCCTCTTCATCTTCGATATGTGTGAGAGGTGAGCCAAACGCACGCTGCTTTCATCCCTGGCACAGAGACGGTGTCGTCCAGCCCTTAATCTCGCCGGTCTGAATCTGGCCTGTCATATTGAGTTAGCACTGAGGTGGTCTGACTGTCCTGAATGATAAACGTGATGCTTTTTTTTTTCTTTTCTAACAGAGGAGTGCTGTTAACCAATCCCTTCCACAGCATCTGGGCCTCAGACGTAAGGACAGAACTGGCTGTATCCTTTCACACTAGTGTGGTGTTGAATAGCAGTACTAGGGCTGTAGTTGGCTTTATACTAAAGCTAGTTTCTTCACATGAAGAAACTTTGAGATGCCTCAAAAGGACCTTTTTAAAACTGTCCATGTTTTTGATGTGGAACTGCTTTAGTTTACAGCCTACGCTATGTTACAGTAGGGGTCAGAGTGAAAAATCTCAGAAATGTAAATGTTTAAAGGGCCCACATTAAGGAAAGACTGAGAAAGATCTTCCTCACCTTTTTGAAACAAAAGTTTGATGTAGTGTGTAAACACTGTCAAAGTTGAAGACATACAGGTCACCCTCCAGCCCATACCGTCCATAAATGGAAGCTGCAAATACAGCCTATTTTTATGTCGTTGGAAACCTGCACGTTTTCCTACATCCTCATGTTCATGCTGAAGTTATAAGGAGCGCTTCAGCCTGGACTGCTTTTTGAATGAGGGACAGTACTGCACAGCCAATCAGAATATAGTTCATTTGCATTTATCAGACTTAAAAAAAAATTGCCTGTTTAATTGTAAGAGATGAAAAGAAGTTGGAAAATGAATTACGACATTAAAAAAAGGAATATGTACATAAAACTACACATGTTCTGCCATGTCTAAAAAGCCAGTAGGGCTGGGCAATTTAACAGTATTTATTGTTATCGTGATAAGTCACAATATGCTTTTCTGAGTATATCCTGGATATCATATTTTTTTAATTGAGCTACTGCTGCCTCTTTTTTGCCTGTTCCAATGTTTCAGATGTCCAAAAATATTGTGACACGTTGAGTATCATGGGAAAAAAAAACGTAAAAAGTGTTGTGATTATGTTTTCGCCATATTTCCCATCCCTACACGCAAACCAACAGTGTTGGGGGTAACGCATTACAGTCATGTGATTACTTTTTCTGTAGCGAAGAAATGTAATGCATTACAGTTAAATATTAATTACAAAAAATTCTAATTACATTATAGTTACTAAAATTATAAAAAAAAACTGTTACTTGCGTTACTCATGTTTTTCTATAAAAAATATTCTTTTAGTACACAAAATATAAAGCATTTACCAAGCTTTTCTTTTTTTTTATTATTATTATTATTATTATTATGTTTTTTTTACTATATTTTTTTTGGATTTTTACCCAATTTTCTCCCCAAATTTAGTCGTCTCCAATTCCACCTGCTCGTTAGGACTCCCCCAATCACACGATGCTATCAACGCTAGGAGGGTGAAGTCTAACACAGGCTCCCTCCGAGACCTGTGAAGCCAACCACCGCTTCTTTTCGAACTGCCGCTCACGCAACGTCACTGGACAGCCGAACGCGCTCGGAGGAAAGCGCCAACCGCCAGATCTGTTACGTCAGCTAACAGACGCCTGCGCTGACTAGCATCGCGCTGAGTGATGGGGGGAGAAGGGCAGCCATCCCACCCACCCAGAGAGAGCGAGGCCAATTGTGCTCTCTCGGACTCCCGGCTACGGACGGCTGTAGCATCACCAGGGATCGAACTCGCGATCTCCTGAGGGCCAAGCCTTTCTGTTAATTCGTGGACGGCACAGCTCGTCATGTGACCGCTAATGTGAGCACAAACACAGTTTGTCAACAATGGGAGAGGACAAGAGTGGAAGGTTCCACACATGGAGATATTCTCATGATTTTGAATTTGTTTCACACAAAGACAAAAACAGTACGGTGTAATTTTAGTGAAGTAAGTGTAGTTTTGTCCAAGCCAAAAACACCTTTCAACTGCTGCAAACTCAACAAGCAGCGTGTCGAAGCACTGAATCAGGGTACATGCTAAACAAGCAGAAACAAAACTCGTGGCTAAAGACCCTGTACTGAAGGAGAGAGTGCCCCACAACCAAACAAGATAAACTGGGTTTTCATTCAGCGCCAGGAATGAAGGTAACTCGGGGAAAAATTAAGAGACTTGTAGCAAAATACATAGTCAAGGAAATGCTACCACTGTCTAATGCAGAGTCGCCATCATTTACACCAGGAGTTGGCAACCCACCTTAAATGGTGCCTGGGGCGGCAGAATGTAACTGCTGCACCATTTAAGGTGGAACGGGAAAATTCGAACGAGAAACTGATGACGGTTTCTCGTAGCAGATTAAACGTGTCAGGAAACCAGCTGGAGTGATTCTAAATGCTAATAACTCCATTGATCTCCAAATTATTGATGTTAATCTTAAATCTTTCCTATTGCCGTTTCGTTAGCCACTAGCTAGGCGAGGTTGTCTGTGTTGCTATGGTGACCAGCAGTCTGCGCTGATCTTCAGGGTTAAAGGGTGAATTAGCAGTTCTACATTAACTCCAGAGTTTAAGACCATTTAGTTTTAAACTGTGTTAGAACTTTATTTTACTGTAAAGGAGGATTATTTTATTTTTACCTTATAATCTTATTCTGCTCTGGAGCCGCAACAGGGCAGTAAAAGAGCCGCACTTTGCCGACCCCTGATTGAGACAAATACTGAACGAGATACCAGTCACAGGCAAAAGTGTACCGCCATCAGACTAAAAAGCATTTGTGAGCTATTTGGTTAATTCAGTTGTTATACTCTCCTGTCCACATGCTTGAAATATAGGTTTTGTTTTGTTTTGTTGGACCACTGAAGGAGCTTTTATTGGACTGTATTTTTCTGCTGCTTAAGTACGTATGGACTTTTTCAGAGAAAATATCGAAGCACCAAGTATAGTGACGTTCATTTTATACATGTTAATGTCGCTGTTACTGGTGCATTGTGTTCCTAAATAAACTGTGGAAAGGACTATTTTCTATCATTTTCGTACTTTCCAGATATGTTTGTAGATTTGATTCCAGGATATTTTGTATGGATTTTAGAATGTAACTTAAAAGTAAAGTAATGAGGTTTGGGATTACATTTTCCAGAAAGTAATGAGTAAAGTAATCCCATTCCAATTTTAGTTAAGTAATGAGTAATCTTTAATGGATAACTTTTTTTTGAGTAACTACCCCAACACTGTAAACCAATCACAGTTATTGGCTGTTCATGACACTGGTGGGGTGGGGGGGGTGGGGGGCTTCAGTGTGGAAGTTTTTGATAGCAACATTTTGCCTGTTCCAACGTTTCAGATGCCCAAAAATATTGTGACATATTGAGTATCATGGAAAAAAACGTGAAAAGTATCGTGATTTATTATATTTTTGCCATATTGCCCACCTCCTATGTGCAAACCAATCACAATTCACAGCTGCCCATGACACTGAGGGGGTGCAGTGGCACTAACTATCTACGATGAGGGTCTTAGACTGGAGATGTTTGATGTCAGCTGAATTAGGCCGCTGGTGGCTCAGTGGAAAGATTAAGTTGTGAAGTTATCATGAATTAAGTAGTGTGATACTGAATCACGGCGCCTCTAGTGATTCCCACCCTGACTGTACAGTACCGGACACAGTGGTTATTGTTTCACTGAGTTTCTTTGACTGAGGTTGTTCAGATGGCCTTCATCATCGTGGCTGGAATCTGCGCCTGCCTCTACTTCCTGTTCCTGTGCTTCATGGTGTTCCAGGTGTTCCGGAACATCAGTGGGAAGAGGACGTCTCTGCCTGCCATGACCAAAGCTCGCCCCCTGCATTACGAGGCAAGCAGCTCACATACTAACGATCTTAAATAAACCGAAGTTTGGGTCATTTCGTTATTTGTACTCAGTGGTTTGGGCTCTTTGTCAGTGTTCTTATCTGATTTGTATTTTCATTTTCCATTCAGGGCCTGATTTTCCGTTTCAAGTTCCTGATGCTGGTGACTCTGGCGTGTGCAGCCATGACCGTTATCTTCTTCATCATCAGCCAGGTGTGCAAACTGACCTCATGCTGAAAAGTTTAGAATAAGGCTCAGTCATGAAGTGGTGGAAAAATGCAGCCGTGTGTGTAGATCTGCAGATTCCACCTCCTTGTTTCTGCGCTCATTGTCCATTTTATCAGCTCCACTTACTATATAGGTGCACTTTGTAGTTCTACAGTTACAGACTGTAGTCCATCTGTTTCTCTGATACTTTGTTAGCCCCCTTTTACCCTGTTCTTCAGTGGTCAGGACCCTCATGGGCCCTCACAGAGCAGGTACTATTTGGGTGGTGGGTCATTCTCAGCACTGCAGTGACACTGACGTGGTGGTGGTGTGTTAGTGTGTGTTGTGCTGGTGCGAGTGGATCAGACACAGCAGTGCTGCTGGAGTATTTAAACACTGTGTCCACTCACTGTCCACTCTATTAGACACTCCTACCTTGTTGGTCCACCTTGTAGATGTAAAGTCAGGGACGATAGCTGATCTGCTGCTGCACAGTTTGTGTTGGTCATCCTCTAGTCCTTCATCAGTGGTCACAGGACGCTGCCCACAGGACGCTGTTGGCTGGATATTTTTGGTTTGTGGACTATTCTCAGTCCAGCAGTGACACTGAGGTGTTTAAAAACTCCAGCAGCACTGCTGTGTCTGATCCACTCAGACCAGCACAACACACACTAACACACCACCAACACGTGTTACTGCAGTGCTGAGAATGATCCACCACCCAAATAGTACCTGCTCTGTGAGGGTCCATGGGGGTCCTGACCATTGAAGAACAGGGTAAAAGGGGGCTAACAAAGTATCAGAGAAACAGATGGACTGCAGTCTGTAACTGTAGAACTACAAAGTGCACCTATATAGTAAGTGGAGCTGATAAAATGGACAATGAGCGTAGAAACAAGGAGGTGGTCAGAATGTTATGCCTGATCGGTGTATATGTAAATATTCATTATGTAACTGTAATAAATAATATCAATATACATAATTGCTAGGGCTGTCAAATAATCAATATTGGTTTCATTATTTTGTGTAGTTAGTTGCAGTTATTAGTAATTGTCTCATTTACTAAAATTGGACCTTAAAGAAAGAAACAGCACAGAACGTAAAATGCAGTCTTTACAAAAGTTATGGCACCAATTTTTGAGATTTTATACTCAGCTAATTACCAGGAATTTTGCACATATGCAGTAAAAAAAAAAGTATATTTTAGAGTCTAGAACTACAGATGGTTCAAAGGGTCAAACTTGGAAAATGCTTTAATGGCGGAATAAAGATTAGTGGCGATAATCAATGATCATGTTAACTTTGACACAAGAAATAATTGTTTGAATAGTATAAAAAAAGGAAAAGAGCTTCAATAACTCCAGACCTCTAAGGATTAATTACTGAGGGTATTGACAGCTCATAAAGGTTTAACATGTTAACAATATCATTTAATCATATCAGCCACCCCTACGACTACTGTGTATGTGTTCACAGGTGAATGAGGGTCACTGGCACTGGGGAGATTATACAGTCCAGGTGAACAGCGCCTTCTTTACCGGCATTTACGGCATGTGGAACCTGTATGTGTTCGCCCTGATGTTCCTGTACGCACCGTCACACGAATGCTATGGAGACGAGCAGTCCAGCGGTAAGAGTCTGAGTGAATTCAGTTTCTTAATTAATTCACTTAATTCAGCCGTTGTAGGATGTTTTTACTCGGTCATTTACTCTATGAAGAAAAGGTCAGTGGCTTCTGCAGAGAACAGCATACAGAGACTGTTTGAACATGCCCCTGCTCTCTAAAATGGTTTTGCCTAGTGTTCAGCTACACAGTGGTGATTTTATCGCTCATGGAAAATCATAATGTGTCCTAAACCTCAAGTCAGTGTGAACTTAATGAAGAGCTGGATGTGGTTCGAGCAGGTTGAGAGATGTTTTGGGGATCTATTTCACCGGCCGGGGAATCGAACCCTTGCTGTGAGGCGACAGCGCTACCCACTGCGCCACTGTGCCGCTCCCAAAACAGCATCATGATGATATGGAGCTGCTTCACTGCAAATGGTACTGAAGCATTACATGCCACTGAGGGAAACATGAATGGAGGGATGTGCCTGGAGATATTCGAGGAGAATTTAATCTCAGTTTGCAAGAAACTGAATCTGAGGAGAAGATGGAGGTTTCAACAAGACAACCCCAAACATACAGCCAAACTAATTCAGGACTGGTTTCTAAAGAAGGTGAAGGTGTGTGCAGGGCCTAGCCGAGCTCCTGACTTGAGTTCTATTGAAAATTTATAGAGGACTTTGAAACTGCGAGTCCATCAGAGGGAGAATTGAGGATTGTTTGTGGAGGAGAATGGCTTTGGAACAAAGTACTAATGCTATTGTGGTGTTTGAATACTTTCCCTATTAACTTGGATTTTTTTTTTTAACCTAACTTTGTTTACACTTATGAATACTTTCTTTTTTGTTTATATTCGTAAGTACAAAGCCAAAAGACATTATGTGTGTACATTTGAAGTGTATATATGCATTTGAAGTATATTAAATAGCAAAACTCAGCCTAATATTTGTGTTACATGTGGCCTAGTATTGCATGCTAGCCTACTTTTCTATATATGTCCACATTTTGGATGTAATGTGTTGAATCAACAGAGTTTTTGTTTTTCAGTGTATGGATCCAATAAGGGTTCTTTGGAGAAACCCTTTTTTCCTTGCTGTTTAAAGGGGTGCCTCAGGCACCCCAGTGGAACTGCTGCACCATTTAAGGTGGAACGGAAAATTTGAATGAGAAGCTTCAACTTCAGTTTCGTAACAGTGAAAAAAAAAAAGTGTACATTTAAGGAGAATTCGAAAACGTATACATAAACATAAACTCGCAGATTATTGATTTTATAAGAGCTGTAGACTGTAATCCAGCTCCTTTTATCCTGCATAGCTAATGCTGATGTTTGGTGCATGTAGGGAGACACTGAAGAGGACATGAAACCTTTTCATATGATGGCGAAACCAAGAACTGGTTACTAGCAGGAAGCTCAAAGTCAAGCAGGACACGTCAAGCTGAATATGTAACATATTTTAACTTACAAATAGAACAAATATGTAGATCCATACAGAGATAACTGAGAAAGCAAGCTGCAGCATCAGCAGCCAAGATTATAGCTTCTGATAAGTGTCTCAGGCTGAGTCTGATCTCATTTAAAAGACTGTTGGTTGATTTAAAGGGCTCATATGCTACACTTTCCCTGTGTTTTATGCACTTAAGATGTTTGTGTGGGTTTATGCAAGTCATAATTCATATTTATATGAACACTTTCCATCGTTACCTCTTTTTAGGCTGTTTTTGGTACTGTGCCTTTAAGACTGATCTTTGTAAACGAGCACTGTTCTGATTGGCTGCCCTGTATCTTTTGAAAGGTTCCTTATTCAAAAAGCAGCAGCAGCAGCAGGAAACATTGCTTATAACTTCAACATGAATGGGCGGGGCTAAGCTGCATTCCAAATGGGATGTTTTTGGAGCTTAGTTTTCTATATATGATCTGAAAATTCATCAATGTTTGCATACAGTGTCAAAGTCTTATTTAAAAAAAAAAAAAAAAAAACAAGGAAAATCCAGTTTTCTGATATATGGGCCCTTTAATGAACTTCCTTCACCACTTCAAAGCCTCCAAAATTCTCTGAGAAACATTTCCCAACGTCCAGAGCATTACATCATCAGATGCATTAAGGCTGCCTGATGGGCATAGCTGAATTGTAAATGCCCCCAAGGCCTTATTCGCCTTATGCATGAGTCCATGTTATGGCTGCAAGTTCATTTTCACTAATAGCATGAATACAACCCTGATCAACATGTTGATATTGCTGTAGTCCTCTATGGACGATGTCTCTTTATTGTACATTGTTTATTACATATTTCATGCAAAATGCTGTAGGAGTCTGTTTAGTTTATGATGGCTACGCAGAGGATCATATTCAATATTACAGTACAAGCAGAGAAAATCCTCCAGAATGCTCTTAAATCTTTGCCAGATGGTTCATTAAATGTATTGTCACTTTTCTGCAACCCCTTAAAATCTCAGGTTTATTACATACTAAAGCTTATTATTCAGTAACTACAGGGACTTCAATGCAAACTGAGCTATTCTTAGGTTATAGAAGTGTGTAATGAAACTCTGGTCCTGCCGGTGGGCCCTGGCCTTTTAAGGGGTTAAAATAAAGAATAGTAAAATGAAAAAGATGGATCTTACATGCTTCCAATGTTCACATTTATGCTAGAATTGCTATAATTAGTATCAAAAACCAGCCTAAGTTAGTTGAAGTGCAGCAGTGTTAGCTTGGTGCTAACATAACGTAGAAAACCTAATTGAAGTGCTAACAAAACATAGCTTCAAAAATGTAGAAATGCAATATAGCTTCACATGGAAATCATAACGAATCGTGAGGTGCTTTTAAGATTCACATCCATGCACTGAAACATTTATCCCCTTCCTGTCTGTGTTCCAGTCATCATGGTGATCCATAAGGAGTTTGAGGCAGCAGGGAAGGAGCCTGGTCTGATGATCTGGCGCATCGAGAACATGGACCTCAAGCCTGTTCCCAAGAACTTCTACGGCAACTTCTACACCGGAGACGCCTACCTGCTGCTGTACACCACCCGAGCGCCCTCCTACTGCATCCACATGTGGCTGGGTGAGTCACGCACCGTCTCCAGCTTTGCTTCTAGCTCATTGGTTTGGCTTGACCAGAGTTAAAGAGTAAATAAACTGCAGCCTTATTATTCAGTTGTTTATTACTGTTTATATTAATTACATTTATTATTCGGTATCTACTATGAATTATTTTATATATACTGTGTATTAGGGGTGCGGGAAAAACTCGATTCTTAGATGCATCGCGATGCGGACGTGAACGATTCTGAAACGATTCACAAATGTCAAAAATCTATTTTCTAAATGCTTAATTTATAACGTAACGTTGACGGAACGCAAAAGGCGGAACTGGAAGTGGGTAAGTGCAGCGCCCGGACAGTCTGTGGCGGCACATAACAAAAACACAACTGGATGAGTGAGAAATCCGACCGGCTCCCTCTGCATTAAAGCCAGGTTAGGTCAGGAGTCACAACACAAATGATAAGAAGAGCCATTTTGACATTTCAACGAAGTTAAACCACCTTAGGAGCCGCACCATTTAAAGTCCAGTATGTGTCAGTACGTGTTAATGTCCTATATCGAAAAATCTGAAAAAATAAATTTTAATTCAAATTTAAAACTGTATTGCTGAAAAGTCCCTCACCGTCTTCCAACATCTCACTTTTGCCACATTTTGAGGACAAATATATCTGTTGTCGGAACAAAACCTTTTTTGTCATTTTTCAGTTTTTGACGTAATTTGAAAATACCTGTCCTTTACATCATGTATAAATTTCATGATGAATCGACTGAAAGAAACGGCTCAAAATTACTTGAAAAAAATGTCTCGTTCCATTGACTTACATTAAAAGTAAAGTATGTTTTTTTGCTTCTCCTGTAAAGTTACCATTTTGGAGATATGACCTCCCGTTTTGAAATACATTAGGTGTTTATAATGCTTTCAGTAAATTCATAGCTGCTCTTACAGCAGTTGAGATGCTTGTGTAGTTCCTCATTAACATTTTAACAGATGATGGCCTGTCCTGCCTTTTTTTGCATTACCTTAGATGAGGAAAGATGTGGTTTTCTTTGTACAGAAAGTTCAGATATTGCTCCTCAGTGCTGTCATTCTTCAGCTAAAGACAGCTGATGTGTTCTGAAATGCCTCAGTGTTAATACTGTGTTTATACTGACAGCTGGAGCTGAGGGATGTATCTCAGTAGAGCTGTCATTATCGACTGTATCATTAATCAATTGATTTATTGCTTATTTGAAAGGTTAATTGAACAATCAGACTCTGTTAAACAAAATAGAATATATACACACACTATATGGACAAAAGTATTAGGACACCTACAGGCGCTTTTGTGAATCACATTCTAAATCCATAGGCATTAATATGGAGCTGGTTCCCCTTTGCAGCTCTAACAGCTTCCACTCTTCTGGGAAGCTTCTACAAGATGTTGGAGAGAGTCTGTGGGAATTTGTGTCCATTCATCCAGAAGAGCATTTGTGAGGTCAGACACTGATGTTGGACGAGAGGGCCTGGCTCACAATCTCCGTTCTAGTTCATCCCAAAGGTGTCTGATGGGGTTGAGGTCAGGGCTCTGTGAGGGCCAGTCAAGCTCTTCCACACCAAACTCACCCAGTCAGGCCTTTATGGAGCTGCTTTGAGCACTGGGGCTCAGTCATGCTGGAACAGGAAAGGTTCTTCCCCAAACTGTTCCACAGAGTTGGAAGAGTACGATTGTCCAAAATGTCTTGGTGCTGAAGCATTAAGGTTCCCCTTCACTGGTGCTGAGTGTTCTAGATCAACCCCTGAAAAACAGCCCCGTAGCATCATCCCTCCTCCACCAAACTTTACAGCTGGCACAGTGCAGTCAGGTAACGTTCTCCTGGCATTCGCCAAACCCAACATTGCATTGCATGTTTGCATTTCCTTGTAATAAACATGCAAAATCATTGCGAGGGTTTGCAAAATTATTGTGAGGGAGCGTAATTGTATTACCCTTTTTTAACCATGGCCCCTTAGGGAATCTGTGATAGGTAGTGATGCCATAGGAGAACCATTTTTGGTTCCCTAAACAACCTTTCTGTGTATGTTTCTATGCATATTTGTGACGTGCGAGTATGAAGAACATTTTTACAGTTTAATGAACCTGTAAGTAATATAAATGTTCTGTACCAATTAAAGGTTGTTTTTAGAGCCATACATCCAGGCCAGGAACAATTTAGGGTGTTTTATTTTTGAGAAGGTATTCATGACAGGCCTGTATCTTGCGCTGTTTTCTCATGCTTGTTAACATTTTACAGCACATAGTTTTGGTCAGCTTATGCTAAAGCAGCGTTTCTCCACTCTGGTCCCAGAGGCCCACTGTCCTGCACTTCCTACTGTTTTACCTGCTCCCAACACACCTGATTAACGAATCAGCCCATTAACAGCCCATTATTGAGTTAAAGCTGTGTTGAAGCAGGAAAAGCACAAAAAAGTATGCCAACCTGCAGGTTTGTGCAGCTGCTGCTCAGTGACACACCCTCAGAGCAGGACCTTAATCAACTGAAGAGTAATTTTCCTTTTGTCTAGTACCGTACTCCTTCCTATGAGATGAACTTACAGTCTTTTGATGCGCTTAACATACCAATCATAACAGCCACCACTAGACCTCATCCAGATGGTCTCGTTCAGCAGCTCAGTCACTACAGCGCCGAAAGAGCAGAAAGCAGAACTTCGTCTAGAGTTGTGTTCATGCGGTTAGTGTTTGATGATGTTCCAAGAGATTCTAAGAGATGAACTTTGGTTTATGATTAATGCCCCACCCCTCAGATTAAAGAGGAATTTAATCAGTGTTTTCAAAAAAAATCATTAAAATTAAATGGCTGTGAGGTGAACATTTAGAATGGTCATTCAGAGTGGTTTGGTGTGAAACGCTCTGTTCTAGAGAAACTTGCTGAGTCAGAATTGTTCACAGTGGTGGTGAAAGGAACCAGACGTCCACCTCTAAAACTCCCTCGCAAAAAAGGTTATTACATCAAGATATGCATTTATATAATGTGAGTATGTATTATATGAATATATGATGGGTATGATAAGCACTTCTAGAACACTGAACACCTGCATGGATCATAAAAAGACTGATTTTAGACCAATTACAGGCAGCATACAACAACAACAACAACAACCAGTGAACAGTAACTGCATACACTGCATAGTAGCTGATTGGGCAGCAGCCCATTAACCACTGTATTATATCTTTTCTTTAAAATCTGCTTGATACCTCCTTTTAAATTACAAGTTGAAAATGGATGTGGCTTAAGCCAGAACTGAGTGTAAGGTGATGAAAGATGGTGTATTTACTGACCACAGTGGATTGCAGCTCTTTAGGAAGTACTGACGTCAATAACATGCATGCAGAGTGTAATTTAGACACACAATCAGCACACTTGTTGGCTCACTGAGTGGCTTCTTAGGGATTGAAGTTTTATGAGTTACATATAATAAGTACTCAGTGGTATTGAAGCAGTAATTACTATGAATTTCTCAGTAACCGCTATAAATTATTCAGTAACTACTGTGAATTATTTAGTAACTACTATGAATTATTCAGCATCTACTATACATTTTTCAGCAACTACTGTAAATTATTCAGTAACCACTATAACTTAATCATACACTTATCTAGTATTTATCTAGTAACTATTATGATTCAGAAACTACTTCAAATTATTCAGTAACTTCTATGAATTATTCAGTATTAAGTATAAAATAAGTAACTACAGCTATGAATTATTCAGTAACTGCTATGAATTACTCAGTAAACACTAAATTATTCATTAACTTCTATAAATGATTCAGTAACTACTATACAGTATTCAGTACTTCTTATGAATTCAGTATTTATTATCTGCTATGAAACTAAAGTTCAGTAGTTTTGGGGCAAGGCAGGTTTATTTATGTAGTACCTTACATACACTGCTGTCATTCAAAGTGCTTTACAAATGAAAATACAGAGTTGTTTGCAAAAAAATTAAACGAGAATGGAAATTAAACACATGATTAAAACATGATTAAAACAATAGATTTAAAAGAGAAAATCACTAAATTAAAAATCAGATCAAAAAATTAAAAGTTAGATTAGGATAAAAAAGTGCCGTTACAGAGGAAAAGGGACTAGAAACGTTAACAGTGTTTAAACTGAGCTGAAAGCTGCACATATAGGAACGTTTTAAGCCTGGATTTAAGTGTCCAGTGTTGGGGCTCTTCCAATGCTCTCTGTCAGCTTGTTGGAGGTGAGGATTTGAACAGTGTACCAACAAAGAGAGCTCAAAAACAGATGTTAAGTCAAGAATGTTGTTTTCCTTTTTTCTGTAAAGTTACCGTTTCAGAGGTGTAAGATTTTCTTACAGCAGGCGACAAAGCGTACACTTACAAATACTAAATGAATTAACATGCCTCTGTTTTTTTTCTCTGTGTTTTCTGCCCATTTTCAATGTTAGGAGAGGAATGTTCTCAGGATGAAAGTGGAGCAGCTGCCATCTTTTCCGCCCAGCTGGACAACTACTTCGGCGGGAAACCAGTGCAGTACCGTGAGGTCCAGAATTACGAGTCCCTCACTTTCCAGGGCTACTTTAAATCAGGGATCAAGTATAAGGTGGGAATCAAATGGCTCTTTCACAGAGTATCATTCTGTATAATTGCAGGACTTATACATGCATGTGTGTGTGCGTGTGTGCGTGTGTGTGTGTGTGTGAGTATCACTTTATGCATTGTTAACCAGTTTTGTTCACTTTTATCTGTTTAGCAAATTCTCACAAAAGACATTGGTGCAAAGCAGACTTCTACAGATCCAAATCCAGTTAGATGGTGGTACTTTATGTAATACTGAGCCCAAAGCAATTATGTTCACAGTTTAATGGAACTGGAGCCACTTCCAAACCTCAAAATCCAGCATAGCCAGATGCATTTCTCTTTACTTTTACGTTCTTTTACTTTTTTTTTTTTATCTGTGGCAAAAACCTCAAGCCTAACACTATTTACAGTAACATCTCCTCTCAAAAGTGATATAGTGAAGTAACATTTATGGTCTTAGGTAAAAGTTTTCATTTTTAAATGATAATAAGCTAACACATTCTCTGCAAGGAACACAGTTCTGACAGTTTGAATGCATGATTTTTGTTTACTGGAAAAATATTGGAAAAAATAATACAACATAAAATGTGGCCTGAGCACAAGTTTGAATTAGGGTTTTTATGTTTTATTTTTTCCACTATGTTAAATTCAGCAAATAAGTAGTAATTGTGCACTAAAATTTGCATATTTATGTGTGTTCTCTGTAGAGGATGTGTTAACTTATTGTCACTTAGAAAATCAACAACGCACCTGTACTTTGACCAGAGTGCCAAAACTTTTGCGGACATCTGTAGGTCTGTAGTAATATAATTGAATTATACACAGTTATAAAATGGATAGTTCCGGTCCTAAAATCTGATTGGCTGAGCCGCGTTCAAAGCCGCACACCTATGACTGCCTCACAACAGCTGCGCCACGGCGTAAAAAAAACCCTTGAGCTGTTAATAAAATCATCTTTAACTCTAATGCTGCTCACATGGAGCACAAATGTACTGATTAATTAAGAACCTTTTTTTTTTGTTTGTTTAAACTGAGGGGCTGAAAACTTATGGTGTTAACTAGAACTAGGCTGGTTCGCTAGTTAACAGGCTAAAAGACAGCTAACAGCCTGAACAGCTCCATCATTAATATCACATGCTTAAATTTAAGTAGTTATGGTATGATTAACTGCAAAATGGCAACATGAAAGTCTAAAAAATGAATGAATGAACGACTTACACACTTCAAATGTTCGTGTTTCGGTCAGAGGTCACATCAAACTCAGGCTGAATCCCAAACGGCTCTGTTCTCCCTAAATAGTGTTCTAGCTATGAAAGTCTAGAAATTCTAGCTTCTACAGCCAAACAGTGCATCATTTATTGAGTGTGGATGAGTCTGAGTCTGATTTCTTAGTTGTATTTTGCTCTGTTGGGCTGCAGGATCCAGTATTTAAACTCCTACGTAGTGAACTATGTAGGGAGCAGCGAGTTTCAGCCCCAGCGTGAGAAGAGGGCGCCACTGGATTGGTGCCAAATAAGACTCGCGGTGGTAATTTAGTGACCAAAAAGTGCTTATAAAGCAAATGTTTTGCATTATCATATCATATGTACATGGTTATACGACAAAAAAGTTATGAAAATTTGTAAAATGACCGCAATGTACAGTGATGGGCGACTGAACGTCCTTCTCATTTAGCTGTCCATGGTTGCTTGGCAGCGATACCATACTCTAGGAATTACATTTCTTGGCAAAATACTCATTTATGTAGATCATTATTAATAATAACTTAAATTATTTTCTAAAAAAATCATGTATTTGATCATATCTTATGGTTTATGTTGACTCTGCTTCGCGTTGTGCCTAAAAACACCCTTTCCTTGATAAAATCGCAGTAACGCACAGCCTCTCATGGCTTATTGCTTTATTATATAGCTGCATTATGCGGTAATGACTTTTACTCGCATGTTTAAGTGGCAGCGTTCTTGCTAGCTTCACATTGTGTTCAGAGCAGTGTAGATTAAAACCAGGCAAAGGAACAGTTATACACTCTTAAAGATGGTTCAAGAGTTTTTAGTACAGAGATCATTTTTGTTTAGAAGCATGGGTTCTATATAGGACCATTTGCATGCTTAAATGGTTCTTTGCATGGTTAAATGGCTCTTCAGATTCGTGAAGAATGTGTAGTATATAGAAGCTTTTTTTTTATTGTTATAAGATTGACCATAACAATATAGAACTAATTTTAAAAAGGTTCTGTATGGAAACATATACAACACATTCTTCATCAATCTGAAGAACTACTTCACCATGCAAAGAACCCTTTAAGCATGCAAATCGTTGACCAAACCATGGGTTCTGTATAGAGCCATTCTTTTTACTATAAAACCCTGGAAGAGCAATCCTTTTTAAGAGTGTAGGGCATTCATTACTTCAGTTATGTATCATTCTTTCCACCACAAACATGCCAGTCTCGTTAGCGCAGCAAGCTTCAAGACAACAGAACTGTAGAAAGTGGGCCTGTTTTTAGTTCACCGCTCTGTACTGGCGGTTTCTTCAGAGATGTGTTTTTAAAAAGGCACATTTTCAGTGCAACATATCATCGCTGTCATAAACTAGTACCTCCAAAATAGTAACTTTACAGAAGAAGGCAAAAACACTCTCACCTTTCAGTGTAAGTCAATGTAAAGAGATTTTATTCCAATTGATTTTAGAGCATTTCTATTGGTCCATTTATCATGAAATGTTCACACACCGTAAAGGACAGCTGGTGTGTTGAAATGATGTAGAAAAATAAAAAATCTACCAAAATGGAGATACATGGTTTTCTTTGGATACGACGATATAGTTCAGAGTAAAATGTACAAACAGAAATATGTTTGAAAATGTGAGTCCATATATTTTTGGTTTTCATTAATTGCCTTTACAGTGGCGCAGTGTAGTTTTACCAACGGGGAGGGCAAATAAAACACAAACATTTATTGTTTTCTACATGTTATACATTTAAAACGATAGGCAGAGCAGCAGACTGAATGGAGCATATGGCAAAAACACATGACTAAACAGCTGGACATTATTATCAACATCAAGCACATCAACTCAGAGATAAACGGCTCAAAACCAGAATCAGCCTGTTCAAAACAGCATTCGGCAAATACCACTGAATATTTAACATCTCCAAAAATAAGATAATGGAGGTCTAGCAAAGTGACACAGCAGTATATACAGACCATAGATATGCATATCTAGATGCTGCGTTGTCTGTTGTTCTGTATCTGAGGCGATACGTCTGCACGTCCGCCATGTTTTTGCAGTCAAGATCCGATGAGTTCTCAGGATTAAATTGACCACAACTTCCTTATTACTCACCAAATCTGTTTTGTTATAATTCTCAGACACAGATTAATCCAGGCTGCACGGATCTGCTCTCGGCAGCTTTTATTACTTTAATAACTGATCGTGATAATTAGCCGTCCGGACCAGCAGGAAAGTATTCAGTCTGTATCTGACGTTAAAAACCGAGTTTAGCGCGAGAAACACAATCAGACACATCAGCAAATCCATCAACACATAAAAATAAAATAAACCCCTAAACACAGTAAGAAGGACGAAGCTGAGGTTGCCTTTCTATTTGCCAGCTTCTTGTTCGAGTTTTCCCGTCCCAGCTTAAATGGTGCAGCTTCAGGCACCAGAAAGTTGCCTGCTTCACCATTTAAGGTGAAACACGAAAACTCGAACAAGAAGCTGGCAAATAAGAAGCTAATTTCAGCTTCGTGTAAGAAGGTGCTAAGGTTATTATGAATATCTACACGGATTAAGGAATGCTAAAACTTACAGAGCTACAAAGCTTTAACCATCATTGTAAATAAATAACTACTACATAAAGTTAAGACCCCCTGAATAGACTATTAAATGAAATAAGCTTAATATAAAACCAGAGGAAAAACAATCACATCAACAGGTTCTCTGAGCCTCATTAACCACACGGCCATATCTACACAAACATCACACAGACAATACGCGTCACACAGACACGAGTGTGGATCACTGCGTTCCCTCCGTTATATAATCCTGTCCCACTTTCTGAGAGTGATATTTTTGAAATAGTAGAATTTTGGACAGTATCTTTCTTAAACTGCCGCTCTGTAATGATACTGAATCAGAAATTAAACCCAATACCATTCGCTAAACGTGTAGTCTGATCTTCAGAGTCTGACCAAATCGGACTGAGCCATAAAACTGCCACAATATCAAGTTCAGCTCAGTTTTGTCAGTTTTTGCCAGATCAGTTTTAATGTTGTTTTGTTCCAGCCAGTCTGTAAAGCATCTTACAGCCCGTTTAGTTTGGCGAATGGTGTTGGGTTCATTTCTGGCTGATTCCAGGTTGTTTAGCTGTTCTTCTGTCACAGCTGCCCGACTGAAAAGCTGCTCAGTGGTGATGACAGTTTGGGGAATTTAGTGTGAGGAGCTGGAGAACGAACTGCCGGCTGTGCAGCGAGTGGGCGGAGTTCGTTACTCTGACGTAGCAACAAGCTGCTTGTTAAGGAACTATAATAGTCTCGTCTTCACTGACTAAATCGGCTGTCGGTCAGATGTGATCTTAAAAGTATCCATTTATGGCAAAGTAAGAAGTAAAAACATTCAAATGGCTTGAGCATCTCCTACAGCTGTCAAAGTCGTTGCTTAGCAACGGTGTCTCAGCAGAGTGATAGTGTTTGTGAAAAAAACATGCTGTTATAGCAACATAACAGCACAGTTAGAACGCTTCTCAACCAATCAGCTTGCGTGGCCGGAACTAACTGTTGTATAAACTCTTGGTATAATCTAGGAATTTTCATCACTGTAATGTGAAGCTACTTAAAACTTGGGTAAACTCTGTTTTCAGCAGGTGCTGCTGTCTGTTTTGGTAGTTAGAATTTGGCCAAAAAAAATAGATGTAAAATGAATGTTGCCAGTTTTTTCCCTTTGTATTGAAAATGCATTGCTATTTGGTGCGAGAACCACAACAGATGTCATATCATGAAATTTCTATATTGTTACACCCCTAGTGTTGCTGTGTTTTTAAGCCTCATACACCTTTTTCAAAGAAGTCAAACGTATATTATATAATCACACGCCTTTAATTCACTTTTTCTCATGTGTCTCATTCCAGAAAGGTGGTGTTGCATCGGGGTTCCATCATGTAGTCACCAATGAGGCGAATGCGAAGTGTTTGTTGCACGTTAAGGGCAGAAGGGTCATCAGAGCCACTGAAGTGGACTTTTCCTGGGCCAGCTTCAACAAGGGAGACTGCTTCATCGTAGATCTGGGCAAGGTACAGTTTCCTGAGACTAACAGTTGAACCTCAATAGCAGAAAATGACCTGCACTTAGCAGGTGGTGTTAGCCTGGTTTCTGTGTACATTGTGATAAGAAACCATTTGAGCTGATGCTTTAAATCATCATTAGATCTATTGGATTAAAATGTAATTCTAGTTGTAATCAAAGGAAGTGAAATATAAAATTTAGCACAAAAATCTGTCATTAAGGCTTCAAGATGGCTGCTGCTACTACAGTTTGTAGCTATGCTAACACATTTTTGCCCATGTTTAAATGTAACAATGAGTCATAGTGTCAGAAGTTGTAGAGATACTGTACAACTCCACATGGTTTGGCAAGTGACTGATGATTTAGGCCTGCAGTTAGCACAATGCTGATCAGCCTGCATTACTCGTGGCTTGGCTGATCAAATATATCCAGATTAATATGTAGTTCCATTGATGACTGTCTAGCGAAAATGTAAGTTGGCATGACAGAGCCAACTAACTATTCGTCGTCGTCATCTTTTTATTATTCTGTGTTGTTTGTATTTGGGATAACATAGCAACAACCTAGCAGCAACCTTAGAAACCACCTGGGATACCAGAGCAACGGCCTAGCAATAATCTTAGCAACCACCTGGGATAACACAGCATTGGCCTAGCAATGACCTTAGCAACCACCTAGCAGCAACCTTAGCAACCACCTGAGATACCAGAACAATGGCCTAGCAACAGCTTAGAAACCACCTAGGGTAACATAGAAATGGCCTAGCAACACCTTAGCGACAACCTAGGGTAACATAGAAATGGCCTAGCAACACCTTAGCAACCACCTGGGATAACATAGAAACGGCCTAGCAACACCTTAGCAACCACCTGGCATAACATAGAAACGGCCTAGTAACTCCTTAGCAACAACCTGGGATAACATAGAAATGGCCTAGCAACACCTTAGCAACCACCTGGGATAACAGAGAAACGGCCTAGTAACTCCTTAGCAACAACCTGGGATAACATAGAAATGGCCTAGCAACACCTTAGCAAACACCTGGGATAACATAGAAACGGCCTAGCAACACCTTAGCAACCACCTGGGATAACATAAAACTGGCCTAGCAACACATTTGCAGTGACCTGGGATTCCATAGCGACGGCTTTGTGAAGCCAACTTAAAATATGTTCTCCAACTTTCCCCGTCTAGTTATTATAGTAATCATTGCTAACAATGTGTCGTATGTGGCTTATATGTTTTGTAGGACATCTATCAGTGGAGAGGCAGTGAGTGTAACCGCTTTGAGACGGTGAAGGCCTCTCAGGTGGCCATCGATATCTGTGACAACGAAAGGAACGGAAGAGCCAAGCTGCACATGGTGGAGGAGGGGGCGGAGCCACAGGAGATTATTGATGTGAGAAAGAATTCTCTTATTTCTGTTAGGCTCACACTGTAGTGAGTGAATAGAGCTGCACTACATAAGATGGTTTTGGAAGACAGTGTTTTGAGCTCTACTCACTTTTGCTAGACGATAAACACCATTAACTCTCATTTAACTCCTCCATCACCATGTATAAAAAAGAGCCATGACTGATCTGTTAGTCAGGCTAACATTGGTGCTACACTAACTATACTCTTGAAAAAGACGGTTCTTCAAGGGTTCTTTGGTAAAGAAAATGGTTCTGTGCAGAACCGTGAACAATCAAAGAACGCTGTGCATGATTAACGGGGCTCTTTGCCTCATAAAGGGGTCATCAGATTGTTGGACAATGTGCTGTAGATGGTTCTTTTTTGAAAAAGGTTCTGCATAGAACCAAAAAGGGTTCTTCTGTTGTTATCAAGCTTGTTACAATAGAAAAACCCATCTTGATGCTAAATAGAACCATTTTCAAAAAGGCTCTGTATAAAACCATCTGCAGCACATTGTCCAACAATCTGAGGACCACTTTCACGATGCAAAGAACCCTTTAATCATGCAGAGGGTTCTTTGAGTGTTCATAGTTCTGTATGACCATTTTCTTCACTAAAGAACCCTTGAAGAACCATCTTTTTGGCTGTCTAACGTCATGTAAAAATTGTGTACATTGTGTAAGTACTTACACAATTACACATTTCCACCAGAGAGGGCGCCAAATCCTCAAACCTACATAATACTGCTTTAATACCTTGTTTTATGCTTTGTACAATGGACCTTTTTCACAGTCACTGCGTCGTCACATCCGGCTGTAAATAGTAGCGTTTTATCCAACTTCCGCCTGCACCGTTTAACAGAGCGGCAGTAGAGGGTCGCCGGTTTTCAGCATCCCTCAAAAAACGTCCTTCGGCCTCCGCTCAGCTAATAGAAGAGCAGTTTGCATGTCTGGTAGTTCCTCTAACATGAGCAGAAAGGCTAGTCTGACGTGGCTGAAGCTCGTCATGCAAAACTTAAAAACATTTGGACTCTGTATGAATCTGCGCATCTGCCACTGTGGGCTGTTTACCAGAGCTCAGGGGCAGCCCGGTAAATAGAGTATGCTGCGGCACACAACGGAGCCACACATCCCACGTCTGAAAGCGCATCTCCGTGTCAAAGCAGGTGCATTTAGACGGCGGAACGTGTTCCACAAAAATCCGCGTTGGAACCGTGAGGAATTTGCCTGAGTCAGGTTTTGCACAGCAGAGAAGGAGCGGTGTGGATTATTGTGTTCAACACCACATCACGCACCTCTGAACAGATCTGCACTCACTGCGCTTTATTTTGGAGATAAAGTCCACCAGGTTTAGTTTTTCCTACTCAGCCCATGCAAACATTAGCGAGTGCCCTGAACACCATAACCAGCACAGAGACACAGCATTGATTTCTACATTACAGTTACTGATCACCGAGCTGCAGTGGAGAGAAGTCAGTTTCTCAGGGTTTTAATCAAACCTTTTAATCACAGATGTGAGTAAATCTGTCCTGTACAGCCCGTATTCACTCTACAGCTCAGTTTTACTCTCCTTTTGATCGGCTACCTCGTTAAGTGACACATGACGAGCAGAGCTTTTCAGCTGAAGTTGAACATTTTTAAACTTGATCGAGTGGAAATTCAGGTGAGGCTGTTCAGTTGAATTATTGGTGCATTAGGAACGCAGCAATGATTTCGGACAGTATCAGCCATTGTTTGCAGCGCGACCGGAAGCATTGAGCTCTTGAGGTGTTTGCTAATGAGGATGTGTCCTCTGTGGTCCACATGAGAGTCGGAGAGAGAAAGAGTGGAGAACAGAGGTGGGGGTAGTGAGGGGCTTGACTTGCATGGCAATCAGACCTTGTTAGATGTGTTGGTGTGATGCTGTTGGCCATCTGACCCGTGTCAGAGTCCCTGTATGTGAATGAACTCTAATGTAATGACTCTTCCTCAGGCTCTGGGCCCCAAAACCACCATCGCCCCAGCCACACCGGACGATGAGAAGGTGGACACGTGCAACAGGAAGAAGGGGGCGCTGTACATGGTAACACATTTTGCTCCCTAGCAAAGGCATAAGTGAAGTTTTGTGTCCATCCGTGAAACTACATTTTCATTTAAACTATATAACAAACATAAAATATATGAAACGGACAGAAGTGCAGACTCAGTTCATGTTTCAAGATGGCTGCTACCGTTTTTTAGTTCTGATAATGTACCTTTGTCCTTGTTTATAGATAACAGTGTGTCATACAGGGTCAGAAACAGTTGAGGTGAATGTGTGATGGTTTAGGCAGGCAGTTAGCACCAATGCTACTTGGCTTCCATTACTGGCTAGCTACATTAGCCTTGTAGCTCCAATGTTAAAACTAAAGGAATAAATGTGGCTTTGCTGACCGACTACATTTTGAGATAGAAGTGGGCGATACGGCAAAAACACAATATCACGATACCTAAAGATGTTTTCACAATATTACGGGTGCAGCAATTCACAAGAATCACAATTCCATACGATACAGCAGTGTTTGAATTTTTCAGTACAGCAGAAATAAGGAGTGGCTGAAACTGTGACTTGTGTTAGTATGTTAATGTTTTCATTTTCAGTTTATTAGAACATTCACTAATATAAAGATGTAATATTTGAAACCAAAGTTGTGCGCTGTAGTGTCTCGATCTAACACTCTAGCGAAATGCTAATGTTAGTCATGATACAATGATACAGTAATTTTATATAATACGATATGTTGTATTGTTACATCCCTATCACAAGATATATACAGTATGTGTTTTTCTCAGGCTCAAGCTGTGCCATGAATTCGTCTGCATATTTCAATGCACAGTCACTGTTTATTGGCTGAATTTCACATATTGGGGTAAAAATAGAACTTGAAATGTGGCCTGTGCAAAAGTTATGGGCCATTATATATTTTATGTATATTAAACTCAGCATATAAATAGAAATTTTGCACTGAAAGTTGCAGAAAAATGCCATATTTAAGTTCCCTGTACAGGGTGTATTATTTTCACTTAGAAAACCAACAAAACCTGTCATTTGACCAGGAGCATTTAAACTTTTACATTCAGCTGTTTGCTCATAAGACTTACTGTGATGTAATTTATCATGATACTGCAAAATATTGTCATATTGCCCATGCATAATCTGAGATTATCTAAAAATGAATGCAGATTTAGCCGTGTATTTGTCCATAAGATCCTCTTTTACTTTAGCCACGTAGCTCCAGCGCAAAATTAAAGAAGCAAACATGCCTTGATTGATCAACTACAGTTTCGGCCAAACTACTCATGTAGTAAACCGAGAATAACAGCGTACAGAGCATTCAGTGTAGGATTAATTAATAGAGTTGGTTAATAATAATGGATTGATATTATATTTTGGCCCTTTTATAGATATCTGATGCTACTGGTTTCATGAAGACGTCTGTGGTGGCACAATCGAGTCCATTCAAACAGGCCATGCTGTCGCTTGAGGAGTGCTACATCCTGGACAACGGCGTGGATAATAACGTGTTTGTTTGGAAAGGTGTGGTAAGAGTCGTTATGACGTTTAGGGTGGGGTACACTTTCTTCAGGCGCTCAGATTTAGATTCTTAGAAATGTTCTGGTTGTGGCTGCATGAGAGCGTGTCCTCAACATCCTTCATCTGAGTTCAGAACGAAAGAGTAACAACTTATGACTACAATATTATAGAGAGTATTGTTAAAGACTTAGTATAACTATAATATGATTATAAGGGCTTGTTATAAAGGCTTAAGTAGTTTTTTATATAAAGGCTTATTATAATAATCTATTATTGTAGTTTTAACCATATTATGATTATAACAGCTCGTTATCATCAAGTATAACTATTATAACATAAGGCTTTATAACTACAACATACAGACTGTTATAAATACTTATTATAATAACTTTTTTTAGCTATATCATTATTATTATTATTATGATTAATGTTGTTTTAAGTAATGTTTTAAAATGAGTATTGTTATAAAGACTATGATGTATAAGACTATTTTTATTTTAATGGTATATTATTGTAATATATTACCATAATATTATAGTTATGATTTTAAACTATTACAGTTGTTGTATTATAAAGCCTGTTGTTATATAGAGTTATTATATTGTTGTTGGAGTTATTACAACTGCAACATAGTGTAACTATATTATAGTTATGTATTGTAACTATAAAAATCACAAAATTAGTTCATATTATGTTTATAATGTACACATAATGAAAAAATATAACAAGGTCCATTCAGCCTTTCCTCTGTTTCTGCTCCAAGGTCAAAATGCTAACGTCGCAGAGCGCAAAGCAGCCATGAAGGTCGCACAGCATTTCATCAAAGAGAAGAATTACTCCAGTAAAACGCAGGTGCACAGCCTCATATTCATCACCTACAGCTGCACACCGTGTGTTCAATAGTGTTTCATTACAATTTGCTTTATAAACCATGTGTTTTAGTGTGTAACTGGATATCTGATGCTTAGACAACATATGGTGAAATACTTAAATAGTGAATAAATCTACTCTAAAATTCTTTTGTGGTGTTTTCTCTAGATAAATGCACAAAGTACTGAGTTCTCAAGAACACATAACTGAGGAAAAATTGCTCATAACATGCAGTTGGCTATTGGTCAGTGTGTGTGTGTGTGTGTGTGTGTGTGTGTATATATATATATATATATATATATATATATATATATATATATATATATATATATATAAAATATCCTGCATTCTGCCCAGTTATCACTTGGTGATCTATCAAGTTTCTATGAGCCATTTCACATCAAACCACTCTGAATGACTTTGGTTACATCTTAGTTATTAAATTATGCAGAAAGTTTGAAAGATTAGTGACTTCCATACTCCTAAATAGAGCTTTAATGTCCTTTGTTAGCAATAAAAGCCTTGTAAGAGCCAGATAAGGTGCTTTTGTGTAAGTAAAGCTTGGCCTCATATGAATGTAAAGTCTGATATTTGCAATGAATTGTTGTGTATAAGCACATTCCCCTACAAAATAACTACTGTAACTAGTATTACAATGAGAAACTGGAGGATTTCTAATCAAGCACTTCCATATTTCTGTAGAACTGCCTTATTGTACTTTATAATAATAGTAAAACTATAGTTTCCTCTAAAGGGCCCATATCACAGAAAACCATCCACTGTTTTAATTGATGAGTTTGATCTAATATGTAAACATTGATACAGTTATATATATATATATGAGTTATTTTTATATATATATATATATATATATATATATATATATATATATATACACGTGCTAAATGATATATATATCATTTAGCACGTATAATGAGGGCATTAGATTTAACAAAAAAAATAAAGACTGAAAATCGTCAGCCATTAGCCACTGTAGCTTAATCATAACTGGCCATGAAAATCCATGATTGGTGCACCCCTACTGTACACATATTTTCACACATTTTGTACTTTATATATCCATAATTAATTCATGCTATGTATTCCATCTAAACCTGTACAATATTGCACATTTTTATATTTTATATTTATTTGTGTATATTAATTACTTTCTTTGTGGTAAATTCCAGCAATAGCCACAAAAAATTCTTTATATATAAAAAGATGCTTACTTAATCAAACTCTAATTCTAGTTCTGGCTGCTCGCACATCTTACTGTGCTATTTCCAGTTTGAGTCTGTAGGCTAAACTCATAAAGGAAGCTAATGTTCTGTATTTACAGTGTAACCTGTCTCTGTCCCTACAGATCCAGGTGCTGCCAGCAGGGGGCGAAACCACTCTATTTAAGCAGTTCTTCTCTGACTGGAAGGATAAGGACCTGACCACGGGCCCAACCAAGGCTTACACCATCGGCCGAATCGCAAAGGTGGAGCAGGTCCCCCTCGACGCCTCCACCCTGCACTCCAACAAGGCCATGGCCGCCCAGCACAGCATGGTGGACGATGGATCTGGGAAAGTTCAGGTGAATAGCTAGAAATTCATACTGATGAGAGAGGATCTTATTAAAAACACTTCAGATAACAGCAGCTAACCCATCGTTTCATGTATTAAAATCACATTCATATGCAAAAGATGACACGTGCCCTACAGACCATACATGCTGTGCCTGTGGAAAGGTGCAACGGGGATACTTTTATACAGATCCAAATATCAATATTAATGTTTATAATATTTAATCTAATATTACATAAACTCCAGGGGTCTGTATGGGGGTCCACACTTCAGTTCTCCACTCTCAGAACTCCAGAACTTACACATTAGTTTAATTATAATTACTGAATATTGAGTCTGCAGTTCAAGACTTTGCCTAAGCCCAGATTTAATATGACTTATTAATCTGAAACACCATTTGTCTTGCAATTTGCTCCAAGACTAAGGTTTAGAGGTCATTAATGTGTTATACTATGTAATCTACAGCCTAATGGACAAATTCATTAGATTATTTAGATCATCTCCATTCCTGTATATGTTTAAAACCAGCTGTTGAAATGTCATCTCAATCAGATCTGGCGCGTGGAGGGAGGAGAGCGGGTCCCGGTTGACCCCACCTCATATGGTCAGTTTTACGGAGGAGACTGTTACATCATTCTGTACAGCTACAAACAGGGCAGCCGAGAGCAGCACATCATCTACACATGGTGTGTCCACTCACAGTCCATATCTCTCCCTAATCAGTTCTATTCAGTTCCCACTGTAGTGGATCTCTTTGTCTATGGTAGCTTGTATGGTCTGTGGAGGCAGAAGCTCAAGATGCATATCGTCAATGTCCAAAAGAGAAAAACTGTGTCTCCAAAATGACAACTTTACAGAAGAGGGCAAAAAATAGCCTTTACTGTAAGTTGTAAAGAATGTAAAGAGCGCTAACCATTTTGTCGCTGTAACAACAAAACCTCATAATCTAGAAAAAGGAAGAAGCTTGTATTATTTTTCTTGTATTATAGGATTTTTTTCCTTGAGGTTCAGCTCATTTGTGAGGTTTTGTGTAGCAAAAATTCTATCCAATCTCTTTTTTTTTTCCTTCAAATTAAACAGACTGAGCTCTGTTCTCTTTAGCTGTGCTCTATTGCATCTTATTTAAAAAGCAGTCTGAGTTGAAATGCTCCTAGGTGTAAATACACCGATCAGGCATGACATTCTGACCACCTCCTTGTTTCTGCGCTCATTGTCCATTTGATCAGCTCCACTTACTATATAGGAGCACTTTGTAGTTCTACAGTTACAGACTGTAGTCCATCTGTTTCTCTGCATACTTTGTTAGCCCCCTTTTACCCTGTTCTTCAGTGGTCAGGACCCCCATGGACCCTCACAGAGCAGGTACTATTTGGGTGGTGGGTCATTCTCAGCACTGCAGTAACACTGACGTGGTGGTGGTGTGTTAGTGTGTGTTGCGCTGGTCTGAGTTGATCAGACACAGCAGTGCTGCTGGAGTTTGTAAACGCTGTGTCCACTCACTGTCCACTCTATTAGACACTCCTACCTTGTCGGTCCACCTTGTAGATGTAAAGTCAGAGACGATAGCTCATCTGCTGCTGCACAGTTTTGTGTTGGTCATCCTCTAGTCCTTATCAGTGGCCACAGGACGCTGCCCACAGGACGCTGTTGGCTGGATATTTTGGGTTGGTGGACTATTCTCAGTCCAGCAGTGACACTGAGGTGTTTAAAAACTGGTCATAATGGTCATAGGTGGTCATAATGTTATGCCTGATCGGTGTGTGTATGTGTCTCTCTCTCTCTCTCTCTCTCTCTCTCTCTCTATATATATATATATATATATATATATATATATATTCTCTCTCTCTCTCTCTCTCTATATATATATATATATATATATATATAGAGAGAGAGAGAGAGAGAGAATATGTATGTGTATATATATATATATATATATATATATATATGAAAAAAATAAAGAAGCGTTTTTTTTCATGACATCACAAAAACAGTGACTTAAATTGAGTCATTTGCACAGCTTAGTTAACATACATGGACCATACCAACTGTTTAGTAAACAAATGTTTTCAAACTTATGTTAGAAATGTTTACATCAAACAGTTTTATTAAAAACAAAAAGTTTTTTTCCATGCCTTTTGTATCTGGTCATATTAAGCTTGATTATCATGTAAAAGTCAAAATTCTTGTTTTCCCATCATTTTCCACCAGAACCTAATGACTTTTGCATCACCCCTAAAACGTTTCCTGAATGTATTGATGTAGGAGGGCACCAGTGGGCGGGGCAAAGTAATATTACCCAATAATATCATGTTTTGCCCCCCCCCCCACCGTCATGTCATGGAGAGAAAACCCTCAGCTAACTCAGAGACCCTCCCTGATATCGTGATTCACTCTTTAACATATTGCAGTACAGAAGATGAATGAGTTATGATTTTATTTCATGCTGACTTTAACGTATGTTAATGTAATGAGATTTTATTGTTAGTTTTGAATTGGTCAGTTGATCATCGTATGGAGTAAAAATGGTTTCGATATGATAAAGGCGATGTACTTTACTGTGTGACGTCTTCTGTACGCTATAACAGTGATAGTGCTGTCAGTGTGGTAACTGCAGGTGTTTGTGTGTTTACAGGCAGGGCTTGAAGAGCACACAGGACGAGCTCGCTGCCTCTGCCTTCCTCACCGTCCAGCTGGATGACTCCATGGGTGGAGCTCCTGTCCAGGTGAGATTTTAATTTCAGTGCCTGAAGGTGGGTCTCCTGAGTGGCGTAACCATTGAAGCGGTGGTCCTTTCATTTAAAGGGTTGCGATTACGATCCACGGTGATGCCACACCCACCCGTGTCTGGAAGCCTCTCTCTCTCAGGGTGGATAGGATGGTCCTCCCTTTTCCCCCCATCACTCAACATGATGCTGGGCGTCTGTTAGGTGGCGTAACCAGAGAACTTGTAGAGAGGAGAATTTCCACTCTGCAATGTCTTCCGGGTTTCTCAGACGCTAGAGGGCGCTCCCGAGCGAGTCCAAAATGAATGGGTTAATATGGAGCATTTGAGCAAAGTCATAGTTTATAAATGATTAAACATTTTTAATGTAAAAGAATACATTCATTTCCTGAACACAGAGCAGCATAAAACATTTTAACTTTTCATTTAGCTTTTAAACTCGAGTTATAGGAGTTTAAAACGGCACCTCGTGTACGTCCATGACGTTAGTGAGCGCAAACAGCCAATGAGCTGCTCCGCTTGCCAACCAATCAGCACTCATTTGCTGTAGAAAAAAAGAAACGTACAGGTGAGATTTCTTTGCTTATTTAGTGAAATCCATCCTTCTACTTTCTAAAATTAAAGAAACGCTCTGGTTCAGTGATTAGAAACTATTTTAACTTTTTGTTTTTAGCCGTTTAGCTCCATTTACTCCCATTCATTGAGGACTTGTTCATGGGCGCCCTCTGCTGTTTATCAGTCCTGTTTTTGATATAATGGGGGAAATAGGAAGTGGCCAGGCTGCTCATAAACCGGCTCTGACGTAACAGAATTAGCAGTTAGTGTTCTCCTCCAAGTGTGTTGAGCTGTACGGTGATGTTAGTAGCAGTTTGTAAAGACATGGTGGAGCCTCCTTCACAGAGGAAGCACATGCTAGACTTCACCCTTCCAGCTTGGTCACATCATGTGAGAGAGGGAGACCTAGGGAGTGGAGAAATTGACAACTGATTTTGGGAAAAAAAAAGTGGTTAAAAATTAAAAAACTGAAGTCATTACAGAGCAGACAAAACCTTTAAAAGGCCTCACAGTTTTTATTGCCCCCCTTATGATGTTTGTGATCAACACAGGCTGGTTTTGCCTGGGAGTGAATGGTAGATTTTGAACCTTCAACAAAATGTACACACACCAAATTCTTTTATTCGAACATGCAAAGAAACAGTGGTTTTCCGATGATACGGGTTCTTTAAAAGGGGATTGGATCGTGTTTTTTATTATACTGTAGATTTACGTTCTGCCCATTCTGCGTTTTCCTGCTCTCAGACACTGACTGTGTATCAATGTTCAGGTACGTGTGACCCAGAGCCAAGAGCCTCCCCACCTGATGAGCATATTTAAGGGGAAGCCCATGATCATCCACAGCGGAGGCACGTCTCGCAAAGGTGGCCAGACCCAGGCAGGCAGCACACGACTCTTCCACATCCGCACCAGCACCGCCAAGGCCACCAGGGCTGTAGAGGTAAGGAGAGCGTCCAGCAGCTGTTTGATCTGTAGGTGCTAGTGAATAACAGCTGACCAGTAACTGGACAAAAGAAATGGGACACTGATTTTCTGTTCAATGTGATACCAGGGAATACCAGGGCTAAAGAAAACTAATGACTCAGATGTCTTTACAGTGGTGGTGATAGGAACCAGGGGTCGCCATGACTACAACACAAATATAGACATTTTATTTACTATCCAGAACCACCAGTGAACCTACACGAGTCTTCTGAGTTTATATGGAATGATGATGAATGTTTAAAAAATATATAAATATTTGGAGACTACTTTGCCTGACAGCACCCTGTATGTTTCCCTTCGCTGTAAATGGATTCATAAAAAGCCAAAAGCTTTTTGTAAAACTATCATAAAACAATGTCTGAAATATCAGGCAGCGTTCAGAACCATTTCAACTTTGTGAAGGAGCTTTTAGAGGCATTAAACTCTTCAGACGTCTGGTTCCCATCACCACCACTGTGAACGATGCCGATTCTGTAAGTTTCTCTAGAATGGGGCATTTTACATCAGACCACTGTAAACGACTTCTTTTGCGTTGCAACACTGTAGTTATGTAGAAATTTTGAAAAATTCTTTAAAAAATCTGTCAAAATAATAAAAATTCTTTCTACAAAGAAATTTGTTAATGCAGTTTTTTTACTACTTCTCATTCCAGGTTGTGTTCATTAATACTCTTCCCATTTTGGAAAATTCTTATTATAATATAATACTAAACAAATAAACTTGGTATGGATAATTATATGCAAGAATCAAATCATCAAAATCGGACATATAAATACTTTTGTATCAAGCAACCAATCATTACAAGACAGCAGTGGAACCATTTCAGAGTCATAATTTCTTTTCTATCACTTTATTTCTCTCTCTCTCTCTCTTGCCCACTCTCCACCTCCTGCCCCCCCCTCGCTCGCTGTCTCTTCTTCTCTCTCTCTCCTCTCTCTCTTTCTCTCTATCTCTCTCTCCCTCCCCTTTCTTGCCCTCGATGTTGGTCTCTGTCCCCCTCTTTCCCTCTCTCTCTCTCTCTCTCTCTCTCTCTCTCTCTCTCGCTCCCCACTTTCTTGCCCTCAATGTCTCCCTCTTTCTCTCTCCCTCTCTCTCTCTCTCTCTCTCTCTCTCTCTCTCTCTCTCTGTAGGTGCAATCTTGTGCATCCAATCTGAACTCCAATGATGTGTTTGTGCTGAAGACCCCCAACTCACTGTTCGTGTGGAAGGGTGTGGGGGCCAGTGCAGAGGAAGTGGGCACTGCTAAGCATGTGGTCACCTTCCTGGGAGGAAAGCCCACCGATGTGGCGGAAGGCAAAGGGCCAGGTGAGAAGTTTTCCATTAGCAACTAGCACTGTGCTAATTCCACAGAATTTGGACCACATAGTCCATGTTTGGATTTGGTTGTAGAAAAGCAGCATTTTCTCCTCATTTCATGGGTCTAAAGTAACTGTTGTGTCAATCCAAGTGTCAATATTAATGTTCATAAAATTTAAATTAATATTACATATTTAATCCCTTAAAGTGAAAATGCACCAATTTTTCACAACAACAGAACTTTCACATTAGTATCATAGTAGATACTGAATAGTAAGTCTACAGTTTAAAGGGCTCAATATAATAATAGAATGTATGTGGCTGGTGTTCTAGATCCAGGTTAAGCCTACGCCAGGGGTCGGCATGTGTCTGGAGTCACATGAGGCTCTTTTACTGCCCTGTTGTGGCTCCACAGCTGAATTAGATTAGTAGGTAAAATAAAATAATCCTCCTTTACAGTAAAATAAAGCTCTGCTGATCGTTCAACACAGTTTAACAATAAATGGTCTTAAACTCTGGAGTTAATGTAGAACTGCTGATTCACCCTTTAACCCTGAAGATCAGTGCAGACTGGTCACCATAGCAACACAGATGGCAATCTCACCTATCTAGTGGCGGAAAGGCAAAGAGAAAGATTTAAGACAAACATCAATAATTTGGACTCAAATGGACTTATTTGCGTTTATAATCACTCCAGCTGGTTTCCTGATATGTTTAATCTGCAATGAAACACTATCAAACACTAAAAAGTGACTAAAAGTCAGCTTCTCATTCACCAGATTCTTGTTCAAAATTTTCCGTTCCACTTTAAATGGTGCAGAAGTTACATTCCGGCACCTCAGGCACCATTTAAGGTGGAACGGACAAATGGAACAAGAAGCTGGCTAATAAGAAGCGACTCGAGAGATGTTTTACAAGAAACTGTTCTGCTTTTGTGGAAAAGTTTCCTGCTGGAGATGCGAGAAAAATGGCTATAGCTGAGCTAAAGCTTAAAGCAGAGCGAAGTAAGTCTGCGTTTTTGTTTTTATTATTTTTTTTAGCCTATTCTAGTACATCAGCACATACTGAGACATATTTACAGCCAAGATGGTAAAATGTTGTGGCTCCCAAGATGGTTTGATTTTTGTTGAAAGGACAAAATGGGTCTTCTTAACATTTTGGTTGTTGACCCCTAGCCTGAGCTTGGACTTAACAAGACTTTTCAGGGTTGAAACATCATTTGCCTTGCAGTTTAGTCCAAGACTAGGTTTAATTTGTTTCCTAGAAACCAGCCTTTCATGTTTATATATTATGTAATATTTTTACTCTCTCTCGGGGGCCGATGTTTCTCTGTAGCGGGATTCTGGGCGGCTTTGGGAGGAAAGAAGGAGTATCAGAGCTCCAAAGCTCTGCAGAAAACCATCAAACCACCACGACTGTTCGGCTGCTCCAACAAGACCAGCCGGCTAGTGGTAAAGGAGATCTTGCTCAGTTGATTAGTTTATTGATAGATTGATGAGACAGATGAGTCAGACAGATAGACAGTAGGTTTGAACTGTACAGTTTATACAGTGTTTATACACGTTGTCGTTGTTGTCGTCGTCGTTGTCGTCGTCGTCGTCGTCGTCTACAGGCTCTCCATAACTGGTCAGAATCTTCCTTTTATGATCCATATGTTTGCATACTCGGAAAAACCTATTGTGGTGTAATTTATCACAGCATCACTAACATATATCACCCACCCCCCTGGCGTCACTAGCTGTGTTTACATGCAAGGATTTTTGCCAAAGATTTGAGATTGTTTATAAACTTTCACTATGACGCGACGCACATGCGCAGAACATACTTTCCGATAGGGAATGTAATCAGATTCAGACGTTTACACGGCTATTATTCTTCTATTTAACGGATTATTTACAGGGTTACCCACCTCGTTCAGTTGGATAGAAATTGTATTCCGAATGGCTTCAATCAGACTAGTCTATTCTGACTGAGGTGTTTACATGGACGCATTCTATTCCTGTTGAGCTATTAGTCGGATTATTAACGGATTATTAGCCTTCATGTAAACGTGGCTACTGTGCTATGTACTGATGTGCTTTTGCAGAATATTAGCACCGTCCTGATTTGTACTCTGTTCGTCTCTCAGGTTGAGGAGGTGCCTGGAGACTTTACCCAGTCTGACCTGGCCACTGATGATGTCATGCTGCTGGACACTTGGGATCAGGTAGATGAAGCAGCTCTATAGCAACAAGAGATTTCAGTAACAAAAAAACTCAATCCATGAATAACTCAGCCACATTAGGTCATAATTTACAAGCTAATCACGATACTCTCATTTGTAGATCTTCCTCTGGGTCGGCAAAGACGCCAAAGAGGTAGAAAAGACCGGTGCACCAAAAACAGGTAAGATACCAGGTTTGGTTCCCAAGTTGCAACGTCTAATATTGTAGTTAGGGGCATTACACAGTCATACGCATTTGAAAGAAATAAATAACTGAAATGTGCAGCACAAAACTTGATTGCGTTTGAGATTTGCAACAACTGATTTCAAGATCTTAATAAAAATGTCGAGTAAAAAGTCTGTTTTTTCCTTTTGGAAAATGTAGGTTTTCAATTTCACTAATGTTTGAGTCATTTAGAAGTCTTTCAAAATAATACATAAAGGGCCCATATTATGGAAACTAAGCTGCAAAACAACCCACTTTGAACAAATTGGGTTTGTGATGTCACAAAAAAACAACACACATACAAATATTCTTCTGTTCAGCCTACTGAGCCCCACTCAGTCACCCTGAAGTTATAAGGAGTGTTTCAGCACGGACTGCTTTTTGATTGAAGCACAATAGCTGGACAGGACAGCCAATTGGAACAGAGCTCATTTACATATAACAGTCTGAAGGACACGGTAACATAAACGGGTTCAATTCTAAGGGATAAAGGGAGGATGGAAGATGGGTGTTAAAAATATTAATTTGCCTGTTCTTGTTGCATAAAATCAGAGATAAGTGGACCTCAGTGAGGAAAACAAAATACAGGAAAAATGTAAGATATGAGCCCTTTAAGTATTCTAATGAAATACAGTCAATTACGTATCCACCCTGCTTGTATCTCTGTGAACAATTAATTTTTTTAACCCTATTTGTAATTATTCTATGATGACTCAACTAATAGAAATGGTCACTTATTTGGAGTAAAATCTTGTTGTATTAACAGATAACGAATATTTTGTTGCTTCTGTAGAGTGTAAATGCTTTTTATGATGATAACCATATGTTGTAAACAGACTAAACAAGGCTGACTGCGTTTGCTTTTTACAGCTAAAGAGTATGTGGACTCTGACCCCTCCGGGCGACATGGCATCCCCATCACTACCGTTAAGCAGGGGGCCGAGCCCCCCACCTTTACTGGCTGGTTCCAGGCCTGGGACGCCCAGATGTGGGACACTGACCCTCTGGAGAGGATCCGCGCCCGATTCTAACTCTCAAATCTCTTCTTATGCTCTTTATTTTTGTTCATTTGTACTTAGCGAGCCTGCTGCGCGAACAGCTACTTTCACAGATTTCCACATCACAGACGGTTCCTTCTGCCGAGGTCATCGGAACTGATCTGCTGTCAACTCATGCAAATTTGAACTGTTACTCAGTAATAATACCCACATTGTTCATGGCCTGGTTTCCCAAAAGCACTGAAGAACAAAGATCACAGTCAGTTCTGTCAGTAATAAACTACAGCTGATTATTTTGACTGTTATTTGAGTAAGCAGTTTTTATAAATAGGCCTAACAAAAACACTTACCTGTTGCCAACAATTGCATAAAAGGGGTGTGTCCATCAGGCTCTGTTAAGAGAGAGCAGTAAGAGAATTTAAAGTATGCATTATCATGCTAATTGCCAACCAATTGCTCCAGATTCATCAAAACATTTGAATGAATAATTATTTTGTATCAGTGGGTTATTAATCGATTAATCATGACAGCCAGTAAAGATCATCTTAACAGTACAGTACTTTTAGGAAACTGGCCGTACATAAACTGGTCCCACTTCGTATTGTGTCTCTAATAACTGTGTAGTTACATGTGAACAACATATGCAACAATAATGTAATCACTAATGATTTAGTCACTGTTGCGGATGGGTTACAGAAGTACACCTGTTGTAATTGTCGTTATATAGGTACAATGCAATTACAGAGTGGTAATTATAGAATGGTAATTAATGTGATGTGATTAGGTTACCTTGTTTCAACAGTTATTCCGCAGTAATTATGTAAAACGTAAATATAATATGTTAAAAGACTTCTGATCTGTAGTGTATCAAAAGGAATATAATAATTACATGAGGCAAAACTGAAGTTAATACCTGTGTAACTACACAGGCTGTACTTCTGTAATCCATCTCTAACATTGCTTAAATCATTGGTAGTTACAGTGTTGTTACATATGTTATTGATGTGTAACTACAGTTATTAGAGACACCTACTTAATATAACGTGGGACCCATAAACTAGCTCGTCTACTGCTCAGCTGACATCTGGCATCATAGCTCATGGACCAAAGCCATAAACAAAGATAAGTAAGCACATAACCGGTCCAATCAATGATTAGATTGGACAGTTACATGTCCAAAAATGTTGAAAGATGCTTAAAGTAGCATAAATCAGGCTCAGTCTTGCCAAATGACCTTTGTGTTTAGCCAAAAGTCCTCTGTTTACTTGGTGTTAGTCTTACTTAGAGGTGCGTATGGGCCTGCATTCATTCTGCCAGTGTACGGGATGGGAGCCCTGTAAAGCATGGATGATGTACTTTTTAGGCAAATATGCACTGCAGACTTCACCTTTGTGTGTTTTTGTTTTGCTTTTGATAAATGCCCACATGTTTAAACAAAAGGAGTGCTTCTTTTAATGACTTTGACAATACATTACTGGGTATCAATGTATTTTTTTTTTTATTTTATTTTACTGAATTAAAAAAAGCCAGCTGCCCTTTAAAGCATATTAAAATTTCATGATAAATGGAGCAATATCAATGCCCCAGAATTCCTTAAAATACAGTATTGTCCAGTTAACTTATTTCAATTAATGAACTTCAATTAAAGTTAAGAACATTTTTCCTTTCTTCTGTAAAGTTTTCTTCTTTAATGATTGAACACTGTATAATAGTTATATATAGTAATATACATATGTACAGTGTGCCTTTAGTGCCTTTGAACACTATGATAGAGTATATACATATTTACAGTGCGCTTCCTTTTGTGTCTGTGAACACTATAATAGTTATATACAGTGATATATACATATTTGCAGTGTACCTTTAATGACTGAATACTGTATAATAGTTATATTCAGTGATATACATATTTACAGTGTGCTTCCTTTAGTGTCTGTGAACACTGTTATATACAGTGATGTATACATATTTACAGTGCGCTTCTTTTAATGACTTTGAACACTATAATAAAGTTATATACAGTCATATGTACATATTTACAGTGCGCTTCCTTTAGTGTCTGTGAACACTATAATAGTTATATACAGTGATATATACATATTTGCAGTGTACCTTTAATGACTGAATACTGTATAATAGTTATATACAGTGATATACATATTTACAGTGTGCTTCTTTTAATGACTGAACACTATAATAAAGTTATATAGTCATATATACATTTACAGTTTGTTCTTTTAGTCTCTGTAAACACTACAATAGTTATATACAGTGATATATACATATTTACAGCACGCTTCTTCAGTGTCTGTGAACACTGTATAATAGTTGTATATAGTAATATACATATTTACAGTGCATGTCTTAATGACTAAACACTGTAATAAAGTTATATACAGTAATATATACATATAGAATATTTAATCCCTGAATCTTGTATTAAATAGTTACACCTAGTAATATATACAGATATTCTAGAATGCATCACAGAATGCAACACACACTAACACACTACGACCGCGTCAGTGTCACTGCAGAGCTGAGAATGATCCACCACCCTAAATAGTACCTGCTCTGTGGGGGTCCTGTGGGGGTCCTGACCACTGAAGAGTGCTACTTTATGGTCAGCGGAGCTGATAAAATGGACAATGAGTGTAGATACAAGCAGGTGGGCTTTATGAAGTGGCTGGTTTGTGTATATATTTGCAGAGAGCTTTTAAAATCTGTATACAATAAACCCAGTTATTTACAGTATTATACAGTAATATGTTATATACATATATACATACATGAACATAGCTCTGTGTGGTTGTATGACCACATGGTGGTGCTGTTATACAGTCTATGTAAATGATCCATATTTCTTTCTCACTCTGTTCTGTCAGCTCTCGCAGCAGACACATGCAGAAGTAACTCATTGTGCCAAACAGCACCACAAACAGAAGCTTCAGATGTTAAAGAGGTGATGTTTCTGCAGCCGCTGACCTTTCGAGCGGTTTCACTGTGCCTCTCCGGGTGTAAATCTGCTGCATGATTGATGGCTCTCCTCATCTGAACTTGGCTTCACTCGTCCTCCAGAGACACCCATCTCTCTCTCTCCTCTTCTCTCAGGCAGGGAAAGTGAAAATGCAGTCGTGTTGCAGCGTGTTTAGTACCAGGGGAGGCTTTTTTTATGTACGTTTTATTTTTGAAGTGGTGCACAGCAATATAAGGCTTATCACTCACGTGCAAAGCAATTTCACATCATCTTTAAAAATATATGTCGAGTTTGTAATGTATTTCCATATATGTTTCATGTATATGTAAATATTAACAATTGACAATATATTTTATCTACAAATCTGCACATATATGAATATATTGACATATATATGGACATCACATACATTCCATGCTCTCTCTCTCTCTCTCTCTCTCTCTCTCTCTATATATATATATATATATATATATATATATGTGTGTGTGTGTGTGTGTGTGTGTGTGTGTGTGTGTGTGTATTCTCATATTAAAAAGAGTGCGAAAGAATTATGGATATATATTGCCAAAAAGATTTATTGTAATACTGCACTCTTCAAGGGTTCTTCAGTAAAAGGAATGGTTCTATTTAGAACCATGAGTTCTATATTACCATTTCATGCTTAACTGGTTCTTCAGTTTGATGTAGAATGTGTTGTATATGGTTCTAAATAGCATCAAAAAGGGTTCTTCTATTGTTATAAGCTTGATCTTGTAACAGTGGCAGAACCCTTCTTGGTGCTACAGAATCATTTTCAAAAAAAAAGGTTCTATATAGAACCATATACAACACATTCTCCACCAATCTGAAGAACCATGTCACCATGCAAAGAACCATTTAAGCATGCCAAGGGTTCTATACAGAACTCATGCTTATGAATGGCTAAATAGAACAATTCTGTTCATTAAAGAACCCTTGAAGAACCACCTTTTTAAGAGTGTATAAAAAGTACATAAAATAAAAAGTTTTCTATAGTGTTCTGTGATACTTCCATAATAATTGATCATATTTTCACCTCATATAACATTAGCATAGTTTTGGGCAAGTTTATTTTCCATATGGACTAGAGAGTGAATGGTATATTCCAAAACTGTAGTACATTTAATTAATTTATTTCATAAAATGAGGAAATTTTGATTTTAACTGATACGGGCCCTTTAAAGAAGTCTAGTTGATACTTTATCGTCCAGCAGATGGCGATAAATACCTGGTATTGGCCATACGAGCAAATGGCTTGTAAATGCCCATACAAAAATTGATATAATTAAAGATTATATATACATACATATGTATGTGTGTGTGTGTGTGTGTGTGTGTGTGCAGTGTTCGTTGGAACAAAACCTTGTATCTCCAAATTGGTAACTTTACAGGAGAAAGAAAAAACATGCTTTACTTTTAATGGAAGTCAATGGAAGCAGAATTTTTCAAGTCATTTTGGGACGTTTCTTTTGGTCCATTCATCACGAAATTTATACACAATGTAAAGGACAACAGGCATTTTCAAATTATGTCAAAAACTGAAAAATGAAAAAAAAACAAGGTTTGTTGCGACTGCAGTGGCACATAGACAACTTATAATAACATGTATGATTTTCATAGGTGTGCCTGTCTCAACCGTTGTTGTCGCTTTGAAATAGCATGTCTACTGATGCTTTTTGTCATTGTCAACTTAAACCACCTCCTAATTCTCAGACATGACTAATCAGTCCAGCCAGCCAGAACATATACAAAGAAACTACTGGCTGGAAATTCAACCTGGAGAAATCTCAGGAATTTCAGGAATGTTCTGAAAGACACGGGATGCTGATCATCTGCTCCATGTAAACATAATTATTGATTTGTTTTTATCATAAACTATCAGTCTTCATTCAGATACGTTTTCAAAGGATTCTGTCACTGCACAGAGTGAAAAGACCTGCAGGTGCCTGCAGTGTTACTTCAGTGACGAGCACTGCTGCTCACATATAAACCAACACGGCGTCCCACTAGAAAGTGAAGAGGCGATAATGACACCAATAGTGTCATCACAGGCTTTAAATAGAGCAGCATTCGAACTGAAAAGGGGTGAAATCTGTCAGAATGAGTGTTTGGATTATAGGCTTTCAGCCAGCGAATGAGTAAGAACACATATACAGCACTGTGCAGAGGTCAGAGACCAGCCTTCATTGATTTAATTTACACTCAGAACAGCCATTTAGTACAAGTTGTTCATTTCTCACCATCAGAAAAAAAATAACAGAAAATTTACACAGAAGAAGAAGAAAAATAATGTTTTTTAAGGATTCTTTGGTTTTACATAGAACCATGAACGCTCAAAGAACCCATAGCATGATTAAAGGATTAAAAAGATGGTTCTTCAAGGGTTCTTTAGTGAAGAGAATGGTTCTATGAGTTCTGTATAGAACCATTTACATGCTTAAATGGTTCTTTACATCATGAAAGGGTGTTTCAGATTGATGGAGAATGTGCTGTAGATGGTTAAATGAATGAAGGGTAAACTCTGACTTTTGCATGATACTCTAAATGACTGACTGTACATATTGTACGTATAGAATTATTAGCAGAATTATGGATAAATATGAAAATGTTTCAGATGTATGAGACTGAAGTT